CTCTAATCTAATCAGCAGGTCCCTGAAGTGCTGCCCCTGAGCGAGCAAGAGAGAGAGAGAATGAGAGAGAGAGAAACACAACAATGGGATCACTCTGCACCGGGCCCAGCTAGAGAGGGAAGACAGGATAGGGACGAAGAAGGAGAAGGAAAAGGAACAGCGGGATTGAACAGGATTAAGATTGAAGAGGAGAGTGAAAGGAAAAGAGAGAGAGAGGTGGATGGGGTAATGAAAGGAGAGAGAGAAGAGGAAAGAGAGAGGTGATGGTAGGTGAGGTAATGAAAGAAAAGAGATGAGGGAGGAAAGAGAGGTCAGAAGAAGTAGAGGAGGAAGGACTGGAAGAGAGTAGAGGAAGGACATGGAAGTAACCAAAACAGGAAGGTGCATGAGAAGATCTGCTGTTAGAAGGGCAAAGGTGAAAAGACTAATGAATAATTTTGGCCATAACAGTTTGAGTAATTTGGAAGTATTTCCACTGCAGTGACATTTTTCGGCATAGAAGGAAATGTCACAGCGCCTGCTGGCTTTTTAATCTGTCTCTGAGAGTTTGAAACCTTTGTTCTTGGCTCAACGACTGCTCTTGTTCTGAGACTGGAGGTAACAGTTTGACCATTTATCATCATTATGAGGTGTAAAGGCAGGCTGGAACAGTGATTAAGAGCTGAATGTCCTGTTGATGATGCCTGTCATATATTGTGTCTCATTATACCTGCACGCACACGCACACACACACACACACACACACACACTTCCCCATCCTTGCCCCCCTTAGAACCTCAGTTCTAACAAGAATTATATCTCTACCATTGACCCCTTGACCCTAAGTATCATTTTTACTGTTCAAAAGACAGACAGACCACCACTGATTATCTGGTCACCTTCTAAAACTTGTCCCTCAGCTATTGTGTGTCAGGGTCAAATAGCATATAGTTAATTTCATTAAAAAAATAAGGCTACAAATATTCTATTTTTTTTCTCATTGGTAACAAGTCTCATGAAAAGATCAAAATAAAAAAAATGTTAGTCTGCAAACTAGAGAATTTCCGATACCTGAATTTTACATTTCAAAACACAGACATACACTGTATACAGTATGTTATAAGTCCTGGCTCAGGTTAAACCCTTTGTCAGAAAAGGTTGGGTCATGACTTTGCAAACTCTCATTTTGTTATACAACCTTGTGTTGTATAATTATAATAGATTATAGACCATCCTGCTGCCGTAAATACTCACAAGAGGAATAAATTATGTATTAATCCACAGCTGAAAAATAGTCCCTAACAAATACATTATTTCCTCCTGTTTGACTTGACTGTTTGCTAAACACTACATTGTAAAAACGACTGTTTTTACTATATTTGTGAGACCCTTTAATTGATATAGTATTCAGTAGAAACCACTTGACGTACAGGATAAGGAAGTCAAAAAGATGGAATAATGCTGCACTCATGTCATACTGTTCAGACCAGCATTATGAGCAGCCAGGTGGGAAAAAATGCTCACTTCAGCCTTGGAGTTGTAATTATAAGTCAGAGATATACCTGGGATTTGTGATAAATATAAAGAACTACAGAAGTATGAACAAACAGCTTGAAAGATGGCTGCAATGACGCACATTGCAGGTAATAATGTATAAGGTCCAATGTTAACACTAATAGAATCAATTCATTTATTTTTAATGAATTTATACACTGTTTAACGTTTCTGCTTTAACTTGTTGACAAACTGCTGCATGCGTAACACAATAAAAGTAGCCAAATTAGTCTATTTTAATAAAGCATGAATACTCCTTAGTAACAGGATACTTTGAGGTTGTCCTGTTCTTCACTTTCTGCCAAAACTGCTCAAATACATGATGCATTGTTGTTTTTATGTGGGATTTGTTGACAATAAGAAAAATATGGAATAATGCCAACCTATTTGGGCTTTAGTAGATAGGACAGCTGAAGGTTGACAGGAAAGGGGGGAGAGAGAGGAGGACGACATGCAGCAAAGGGCCACAGGTCAGATTGCAGCAAGGACTCAGCCTTTGGTACATGGGACCAACCTTATTCTTTGCGACTCTCTAAGTCCTCCCACCAAGTCTCAACTTGGGGTCTAGGTATGTGTTGCTGGAGGCATGTTGAGTTTCAGTGGCTCTCTGGTCCAGGTTGATCAGAGCTGGAAGCCACCTGCAAGTTGAAAGATTTGATTTGCAGGTCACATGCTTCTCAAATCAATATCTCATCTTCACATAATCCCCCTTTGGTACAATGAAAACATGGCACCCTTTGTCCACTGCCAACAAATAGGAGGTAATTGGTATTCTAGTAGCTGAAAAGTTTTCCTGTTGACTCTTGAGAACTTTGAGCAAAGTAATTTGCAATTTCTCTTTCACCAAATGTTGGCAATATATATTTAGTTATTCCTGATATTATTCTTTGAGTTTGTACTCTCTAGGGTATTTTATTCTCCCCTCGTCACAGGTCTGTTGATGTAAATGCTTGTTTTTGTCTTACAGGATAACGAAGGACAGACAGCACTACATTATGGTAAGAAGGCTTCTCTTATTAATCTCTACGGTCCCAAAATGTTGTATAATCCCTTTGAAAAAAAGCACAATTTATATTCTTTCTCTGCGATAAAGCTTTTTGTAAGTGTCTATTTTTCAAATGGTGAATATCTCATTTTGGGGCGATACTCTTCACATTTGTCGTCCACTGACATCATTATGTTGTCTGCGTGCGCTCTCTCTATATACAGGAACACACCTGCTCTTTGCCCACATTTGTCTCAAATTTGTCATTTTTTCTTCCTCTTCGCCCAACTCCCTCCTGTCCATTCCTCATCTTTATTTTCCACTGTTGTTTTTCTCCCAGTTTCTCTCATTCCTCACTTTGGTATCCTGTGGGTGCATATGTGTGTGTGTCCTTTGGTATGTATGTGTGGATGCCTGTCTGGTTTTGTTCTGTGTGTGTGTGTGTGTGTGTGTGTGTGTGTGTGTGTGTGTGTGTGTGTGTGTGTGTGTGTGTGTGTGTGTGTGTGTGTGTGTGTGTGTGTGTGTGTGTGTGTGTGTGTGTGTGTGTGTGTGTGTGTGTGTGTGTAATAATCGCCAGGCCTCCCTGAGGAAATCAGCAGTGGTCCTTAGACTCCCCTGACCCTCTCATGGCCCAACACACATGTCCCTGAGGGGCGGTTCCCCTGTCCTCTGAGCCTGTGTGTGTGTGTGTGTGGCTAGACCATCTGTTGGTGGCGTTGGAGTGGGCATGTTGCATCACCCACCGGAGATCTGCACACACACAAACACACAGCACAGGAAGCCCTGAGGATGGGGCATAAAAAGATGACTAATAAACATAAGCGATGAACTCCAAGAGACAAATAGCAGAGAATGAAAATTCATTCCCACCTCTCTTTGCACAGGGCCACAGTGGCTGGCAAGTGATTAATTGAGGGTTTACTGCTCACCATAAATTGTTCTCCTCCTCTATAGCTCCCTTGAGGGCCAGCCACTTTTTACAGCTCAAGGCCCAGGCGAGACACCCTCCACGTGCACACACACACACCCCTGGCTGAATAAAATACTGTTTAGAGCAACAAGAGGAGGACTGCAAGCGTGGCTGGAAAAATAAGCCAAGCTTTGTTAGTCTGATTTGGCTGAAAGATAAGTGGTTTCTTATAGTGTTTGACACTTACACACCGCATACTATTCATAGACACAACTCAGGCGTACACACTCGCATGCATTCCGATGTATCATCATATCTCATGCACGCACACACTCCTGCCAGCCAGCCACCCCTGGGCTGGAGGTTAAAAGGCCTGGCTGTCAATCACTGTGGCTGCTGACATCAGCGATCATGGCGCAGCACAGAGTCCGCTCTTTAAAAGGAGTGAGCGATTGACACCGACAGAGAAGAGCACTCAGAACAAGAGAGCAAGAGAGAGAAGATGGTGGGGGCAGCGGGGGGGGCAAGGTGCCAGAGGGGCGAGAGGTGCATCGGGAAAGCAGGGACCCGCTAACTGGGTTAAGAAAGTGCAAGCCTCCCCCTTTCCTCCCCCCTTATACTGAGGGAGAGAAGACCCTTTTAGTGGGGCACAAATTGCCAATGGGGCAGAAATGAAGTGTTTGAGAGAACTACGGGTCCAGGCCAGTGTCAGTGCCGGGCCTGCAGATGGGCTTTTCATTAACTGCAGCACTGCACATACTTTATTGAACTACAGTACGTTGAAGAAAGGAAGGAGGCAAATTTACTCAAACCTGGTGTACACCATCATAACAGTCCAACATGATCCATCTAATTCCCGATTATTGGACATTTGTCCAGATAAGAATAAATAATAAATGGACAGTATAACGACACTCTGATTGCACCTTCATCGTTGCAACGAGACTAAGAGTCCACAGCAGTGATACTCAACTAGGCTCCTGGGTGGCCCCATGACAATAAATTGATTCACATTGGAAATGTTTGGTTTAATTATTATGTATGTTCAATAATGTCCCTCATCTGTTACTTGGGAAGTTGCAGCAATCTGTGCAGCGTGCAGAAGTGGTGACACTTGATTCACGTACACCTGACGGGGCTGCTGCAACTGGATTTGTCTCTTAGCAAAGATGAGTGAGGATCATAAACGTTAAAAGTTTGACAGTTTGACATTGACGAAGAAAAATGTATTTGCCTATATTTTGCTACTTCATACCAGTTCTAAACCACTGTTTAATTTTCCAAATAAAAAAGTGCCCCCCAAGCGAAACAAGTTAAGTATCTCTGGTCTACAGTCAGCATCCATACCAGCAGCTCTGTGAGACTGTACTTAGACACCGTGATGCTTTGAGCTAAATGCTAACTCTACAATGGCAACATGCTTACAATGACAATTTAAGCATGTTGATGATTAGTTGCTATAAATGTGTATTTATCCACAGCTGGTTGACCATGTTCACCATCTTAGTTTAGCACTAAGCTAACATTTGCTAATTAGGACTATGGATAAAGTACAGCTGAGGCTGATGGGAATGCCATTAGTTTAGCAGAGATTTGGTCGTCAACAAAAGTATTGGACACATTAATAAATATATCTGATGATGGCACCAGATATAAGGTCAAGGGATCACTAAAGTCATTATAATTCATCCGGAGGAGAACATAATGTCTGTATCAAAATTCATGGCAAACCATCCATTAGTTGTTTCAGTCAAACCCACAAACGTGAACCTCGGGGAATCACCAAAGTCAACTTAAAGTCATCTGGAAACCATCTACAACAATGCCGATGTCAAGATATGACACTATACAAGTGAAAACTTTAACCCATTGGTCGCTTCTGCAGAAATGCCAGTGGATGAATGTCTGCACAAATTTTAATGGTAATCCTTCGAGTAGTTGTCCATACAGTCATTCAGCTATAGCATTTAGCAAAAAGCTAAATGCTATTGCTGAATGTTTGCCTAAATGTTTGTCCTCTACATCCTTTATTCTCCTCTTTGCTGTGTCCTTCTCCTCCTAACTCCTTCATTGTTTTTTTCTCTCCTTCTCATAGCATCGGCGTGCGAGTTTGCCGACATCGTGGAGCTCCTGCTGAACGCCGGAGCCGACCCGTCCATCAAAGACATGGAGGGCTCTCTCCCTGAGGAGGTCACTGAATCCAGTGCCATCTCCTCCCTCTTGCGTCAGTATACTGCTTCAAAAGGCTAGATCTCCCCCCTACCTACCACCACCGGGTCCCTGCCTCTGTCCTTGTCTCACTCTGTTCATCCTCAGCAAGATTGCAAAGGTTTTATTTGACTTTATTTACAAATACTTGAGGTGAGTTTGATTTCATTGACTTAGCTCTTTGGAACTACGGGGTGCGAACACTAGCCCTTCCATTTGATAAGACACATGAAATGAAGCACACCACATGTATTTTCATTTTCATCTAAATACTGAATATTGACTTTCTATGCTCAGTAGGGTTGGGTGATATGACGATTACTGTGAGATGACAGAGCTCTGTCTACTGGTTGAGATTTTGCTGAGGCAGCTGTACCTTAAATATCTCCTCTGAGCAGGCCTGCTTATTTGCAATACTGGAATGACAGGATTTGTGCATCAATGTGATGGAGTATCTGGATTTGTCAGGTATTTAAGCCACTGGAGGAACCAAACACAGACATTCCCGTCCATTTATTTTATCTATAAACAGTATAAAATTTCTGACAAGTCATATCACAGTATATGTATATTGTTATTGTGATATAACATTACATACTGTAATAGAAGATTTTTTTACATATCACCCACTCCTACTGTCCAGGTCTGACAACCATCCAGGCCTTTTAGTCTGGGTCAGCCCTCTCTGACCATTTGTTCATGATTCAGTTGTGTTACGTTCAAGGAATGCTTTAATCATTTGTCATTTATTGCATTAAAGTCTTCAACAAATCTGTTCCCTTTGACTTGTTCTCTGTTCATTAGAAAACATATAGTCAACATAAGATGACAGAGTGACTTTAACATTTATAGTGTAAACACACACTACAAGTATACAGTGTTTGAATTAAAAAAATATATATATTAAATGCAAGAAAACTTTGTGAGGATCACACAAAAGGTACCCCCTACCAGTCCAGTACAAGCCTAGAAGGTAGCAAGATTAATTAAGATTAATAAAAAACAAAATTCCAACCAAGTGGTGTTCTAGGGTCCAATAGCATAGCCAAGTCTTTTGAGACCCCATCCATTTTGCCTGTCTAACATAGTGCCATCAAACTATTTCTGATTAACAATCAAAATAAATTCAACCAATCCCTGTTAATTCTGTGCAACCTTGCAATTTTGTCCAGTCATCACAACTTTTCCACAGATTTGACCAATCATTGTAGTTTCCATTAAGTTTCACTGACCATAGCTGTCCCCTGTGCAAACCGTTGACCTATTTTTGCAATTTTCACTTTTTCCTGCAATTGGATCAGACAATCAACAATCCCATAAAAAGTCAGTGAACTCCTAGAGGGACCGGATGATAACTCATGGCTGGAAATGGTACTGCAAATTCACTAAGCAACACATTAGAACATGAGACTAGCCTAAAAAGTGTGATAAAAAACACATATTTGTACGTACACTACATACATACAATGCATACAAGCATAGATATACACTGCACAGTACATACAAACACAGATAATGATAATCCGCACTCACTTCACTCAACTGGCCTATCTTCATCTTCCACACAGCATACACACAATATACTGTACACACAACGCTGGAGTCTACAACCTGCCTCTGTAGTATTATGTCATATAGGAGAGATCTGGATGTTCTCCAAAAGTAACCAACACATGGTCTGAGTCCAAATCTGCTTTACTCGTCCTCAAGCAGCTCTGATCAGCACATTCTCTCCGCCTCAGCTCACACACACACACACACACACACACACACACACACACACACCTCACCAAATGAGAATACACTAAATCTGGATCCTTGATCTTAACTACAGCTTCATAAAGATGCAAATGCACATTTTGTACAACAGTGTAGGATAAAGCTTAATCCTAACACATTCGCTTGCTCCACGCCTGCCCTCATCCCCCAATGTTTTACTTAAATCTGCCTTGAGACAAGGCGTTAGATAACCGTCTCAACATGTCTGGTTGCAGCCTGTCAGTCACTCACAGATGTATGACAGCAGTAGATGCTCCACTTGGCATTGGTAGTCATCACCAGGGCCACCGCTTCAAATTCAATCTTTGTCTTGACAGCTGTTGTACAGTTGCTGTAGTGAATTGAGATGCAAGTGAGCTGTGCTATACATGAAGTGAATTAAAATCTCTCCACATAATGTCTCTATCTGCATCCTCGTCCTGTCCTTCCCGCCTTCACAAATCACCTGGGAGAAGAGGGCCGGGAGTATTTTTTTTTTCTTCCAAAAGTATCATTCACTTTTGTAGACTCCAGCCATAAAGCCTCCCTCAATGACATTTTCTGCATCACCCCTGATGAATTTTGAGGAGGACCCCTACATGAGTGGAGAGGAAACCTTTTGAGTATTCAACCTGAGTCTGAGACATGATGCGCTACAATCCCACAAAGAGACAACCAGTGACCATCTTATTGTTATGAATTCCATCCACATCCAGCCATTAGGCTGTTGGTGTATCTCTAAAGCCTGTTTGGGGCCCGGTGTTGTCTCCTCGTTGCTTCCTAAACCCCGTTATGCTGGCTTGAGGTAAGAGAGGGTGACGGCAGCCGTGCGTCCCCCCCAGCTCGTCTGCGAGACTCTGACACTAAGCCTATTATGCTTCCATTATGGGGCTTCAATTTTCCTCTGAGCTTTTCACTTTTGACACTGCAGCTCCCTCCCTCTCCAAACCGCAGACTCACACACACCCCCAGGCCCAATACTGTTAAGCCGTTCTGAATATTTATGCATTTTTCAAAGGTGAAAAGTAATAAACTACATTTACTCAAGTAGTAAACTTAAGTACTTAAGTTTTGAGGTATTGGTACTTTACCTGAGAGCTTCCATTTTGTTCAGCTTTATACTTTTACTGCTCTGTACTTTAGAAGAAAATTCATTGGAGCTTTTTTATCCCCCAGCAGTTCTTTAGTGTCCCCAAGATGCAAAATACAGCAACATTTCAAGAGATAAATAAGTGTAAATATTTCACATTTCACAGTAGTAAATACAGTGTGGTATCACAAAAACTGGACGTCTTTAAATTTTTTTGTGAGGCGTTCCATTTTGTTTGTTTTACATTACATTTATTTATCAGGTGGGCTTTGGTGTCTCCCTCACAGACATTTTAAAAAGTGTACAGGAGGAACCAGAGATTTGCCTTTTTTACAGCAGACATTTTGACTTATCAAAGGAAAAGCACAGGTGTTACTAATGACATCAACAATGGCTCTGTTCTGTTCAAGTGTCCCAGTAAGTCATGACAGAGTAACAGTGAGCCAGTATGAACACTACCAAGACACTGAAACTGAAGCAGCTAAATGGAATTCAGCCGCCATCAATTTTATTGACACCTGTGTTTATCCTGCTGTGAAATAATAATAATAATAAAATATTGAGTATCAAGCATTTTAGCCTGGGAACAATTAAAAAATCTAGTTTTGAATACTTAGTAGCTATGAAAATAAATAAAGAAGTAGTATTAGTAGTTAGTAGTATTATTTCATTAGGAAACAATGACTCAAAATGTTTAGTAGGACCACATTTACCTGACAAATCCCATTTACAGTCAAACCATAGCAAGTCATGTCCACATTAAAAGACCAGGGACCGAGTATGTTTACATGTGCAAGAGTATCCTGGTTATGATTATTATCCCAGCTATGTTTTGGGCATTTTAACACAATATCTTGGTTTCAGAAACCTCACCAAGATCCAGTTTTGAGAAACCTGGATATGCTAGAATGATGTAATGTAATGATGATCAACAAGCTGAAATCAAGGGAAAGTCTGACAGTGTGAATGTAAAGAAACTCATTCAGACAGCGGAGTGAGAATATTTTGACCTGTTTTTGATGGGAAGGCACCTGTGATGTATTTGTGTGTGTGTGTGTGTGTGTGTGTGTGTGTGTGTGTGTGTGTGTGTGTGTGTGTGTGTGTGTGTGTGTGTGTGTTTGCCGTTTAAACAATTCTTCCAGAGGACTCCTCCATCTCTCCCCCTTACCTCTCTCATCACTCCCCCTTTTCATCTTTCTCTCACCATCATTCTTCTCGCTGGCTCTCTCTTCTTTTACCTCTCCACTCCTTTCTCTCTCCTGTAAAAGCAATACTATGTCAGTTGCTTTGGCCAGCTCTTAATGCCACTCTTTACCCCCAACCCCCCGCCCACATCCCCCCACCTTTCCCCCCCATCTTCTTGTTACGCTGCAGCACCCCCACACCCACCCTGAGCAGAGAGGCTGGGAACCCAACAGTAAGCAGAAATCCCTCCGCTGCTGAAACACTCACATCAGAGGCTCATTCTCTGCTGTCCAGGACTGTGTGTGTGTGTGTGTGTGTGTGTGTGTGTGTGTGTGTGTGTGTGTGTGTGTGTGTGTGTGTGTGTGTGTGTGTGTGTGTGTGTGTGTGTGTGTGTGTGTGTGTGTGTGTGTGTGACTCCCAGGCTCAGCTCTAAAGCTTTATGTGTAGTTTAAGGTGATGAACAAGCTCTTCTTCTATCCACCAACACAAAGGACCTGAGCTTTCAGACTTAACATAAGCCAACAAACAGCAAAGAGTCTGGTTTACACTCACGTACATGAAAACCACTGGAGAACTGCACTGAAGACTAATGCTTTTAATATAGCAAATATATTATCATCACTACAGTATTTGTCATGGTTTCCTCGGGGTCATGAACCCTCTTCCTTTGCTTACCTGTCATCTATCCGATATGTGCCGTAAGATAATTATTGAGTAGAAGAGGCCGCAGTTTCACATTAAAACGGCATCGAGCTCACAACCTTGAGGGTGTCATTGAGATTGCCTCTGTTTGACTCCAGTCCTTCTTTAAGTCTCACTCAGTCATTCTGTGGATCATTGTTCACTGCCGGCTGGATGGAGTCGTTTGGGGAGAAAAATGTCCTGTCTTGATGCTGCAAGATTGACTTTCGGGCCACAACAAATCCTATCTATTTTGCATGTTAATTTATTCCCTTTAGCTTCAGACGAAGAAAAAAACTGTTTCCTTCAGGAAGTTTGTAATAAAAGCCTTGCGATCAATGATAATGGCATTTGTGCTTGTGTTTGTCATCTTCGCAAAAGCAACAGTGGTGGAGTTTCCACAGATTTATTTGTATACTAGTGCTGTAAGTGGCGTGTAAATTATCCTAACTGTCTGTGTGGCTTTTTATCTTTGTAAGGCAGTACTATTAGAGCCTATCCATTATTGCCCATAGCCCAGCCAATCAATGCTTAAATAAAAATCAGCTCAATTTGTAGCGTTTTATGCAAACGTGCAAACTCCAACCAGGCTGACTCTTTGCTTTTTGTTTTTATAATGTAACAGGAATAGCTAAAACACAAAGGAATCGATAACACTTAAGTTTGGGTTAGGTTGGCCTGCTCTCAGACAAGTGCTGCACGTTGCTGCATACAAATGAGTTTCATACAGATGTACGCTGTGGTGTAATTTCATTATAATTCTATGCATAGTTAGCCAACACCATAGTTACAGCGAATAAATCCACTGTAACCTGAGAGGTTTTAGAAGCACAGCAACTGCAAAGGCTGAGCAGTCACACACACACACACACACACACACACACACACACACACACACACACACACACATACCTCCTCATGTCCTCAATATTGTTTATAGAGGAGAGAGAAATGAGGAATGATATGCAACAAAGTATCGCTGTGGTTCATAGTCAGCACTCCACCAGTGGTAGTTTTTCTAAAGGCTGATTCAGATTCTTGCAGCCATGGTAGCGGTGAGACTTTTTGGGATGGCAATGTCGATCTGTTGAATGGTCAGTTGGTCCACCACCACCAGACTGAATATCTTAACAACTATTTGATGGATTACAATGAAATCTAAGTATAGATATTCATGTTCCCCTCAGGATGAATTGTACTTACTTTGGTGATGCATCAACTTTTCATCCAGCACCATCCGCAGGTTTAATATGTCCAATATTTTGGTTTATGATTAAAAACATTAAAAAACTATTCACATTTCCATTAGCCTCATCTGTAGTTTGTGTTGAATGCTAATAATGAATGTTAGCATGCTAACATGCTAAACTAAGATGGTGAACATGATAAACTACGCCTGCTAACATCAGCATATTAGTATAGAGACGCTAGCCTGTCTGTAGACTCTTGTTTAGACTCAATATTATCTAAACTGTTTTTGAATTAAAAACAAATATTAGGAGTTATGAAGTTTAAAGTAGAATCCCTCTACTTGAATGACAAAACCGTACGAGCGGGTGAGGAGGGCTCTGAAAAGCCTTTAGGCCATCAATAATGGAGATAAAAATGACAGAAAACATCTTTGGTTGCTTGTCAAAAGATGTCCCCGAGGTGTGGGGCTGCGTTAGGGAAATGGGACTCATGACCCCAGTGGTTAAAAATATTGTGTACAGCCCTGCATATAGTCTACTTACCAGCTTGACATATTGGCATACAAGCTAACTGCCTGCATATGGGCCATATTCCCTCTTTGCCTGACCACAAAGCATATTTACCCATGTTTCACAAAGCACTCTACAATTAGTTAACAGCACAGGGATTAAGGATAGATTTGACGGTGCAGCTCTGCAATCTGCTGCTGTGTCTCTTTAGCACTGAGAGGATCAGTGAATCCAGCCGGGCATCTGTTTCTCCACTTGTTTTATTTTTTTCTCTCTTGTCTTTCCTTCTCTATTTCTTCTCTCTCTTCATGTATCTTTCTTATCACCCCCACCCGGAGAGCGAGAGAGGAAAGCAGCATCAATCACTGTTAACTGACTGACCACTGTCCGTTGGTGGTACTAAATGGATCTCCACAATTGAATAGAGGCCTAAGTGTGTGGTAAATGCTCTCAATGGGTAAATGAATTTGCGGGTTAACTCGCTCTAAGAGCGTTTAGATAAGGCAAAATAATAAAAACACCTACAGCAGATATTTTTCTTTTGATATATTGAAAACAAAGTTCAGCTGAAAATCTTAACTCCCACATTCATCACTACAGGCCTGGTCTGTTAAAGAGAAATGTACTCGAGGGTAACCCAAAGACAATTCAGCTTTATTTTCCTCATATAGATTTGACTGTACACGGTTCATACCATTACACAGAAGGCATAAATGAATAAATTCAGTGCTCTCTTTTACATCTTTTTCAAAGACACATGGCAATAATAAATAGCGCTCATGAAACAAGACGATCAACACGTTTTCAAACTGTACAAAATTTACAACAATTAAGATGCAAACTTCTGAGGCAACAAAGACTCAACAAAACTGTAGTGGTAAAGTGTTTGTGTATGATTTTCACTTAACATTTTAGATCATAGCCTGCAAATTACACTGTAAATATTGTGTACATATTAGGTACCAATAAAACTCTTACTGGATATCTACTGGTATGCACAAGGGAAGGCTTTTTTAATTCCCTAATACATATTAAATAATTATAGGGTACTTACAGGGAACCAACAGACTTAGCCTTATAGCTTGGTCATGAAAAACTAATGTTTTGTTCCCCAGCAGCAAAAATTATCTACTACACTTCATATTGTAAACTGTTGTTATTTCCCAAAGTATATTATAATTTTTTTAAATAAAAAACAGTATAAATTAAGTAGTAATTTAACTTAAACACAAGCCCCCTTATACCCTAAAATCTTATCTTCTTTCCATGTACATCCATATTAATCCCAGTATAGTTACACAGTAAGTATTTAATTAAAACCATGTATTTACTAGATAATTATGCTGTAGTTTTCAGGCTGTAATCTAAAGTGTTACCCAGTTTTCTTAATGGTGTCACTTTCTGTTTGTTGATTTGCTTTCTGGCTCTTAGATAGGATGCTCTGGTAAAAAAAAGGACGTGGCAATTTTTTTGAAAAAGTTGACCATGTAGATGTGATTCGATTTCTTTTCTTCAATTGACAAAACAGGAGTAAGGGTAAGGGTGCGTTTTTAAGCCAAACCTTCCCTTATATCAAAATAGCCACTGGTTTTGACATGCTCAACAGGTCAGATGAAACTATGAGTTGCTCTTGCGGCTCAAAAGAAATTAGCATTTCAAGAGAAACAGGGGCGGTTCTGTTAGTGAATCTTTCTCAGTTGTCATGGGGGCTTTAAGATGTAGCTGACATGGCCTGAACTGTAAGAAACATATCAGTCCAGCAAATCATGCCAGCACTGAAGCTACAGTAGAGTATCAGCCCTGATAGTGGGGGGCTCTGTGGTAATCCCTCTGGCATGGAGGCCAGGCAGGGGGAGAACAGACTGACAACACATCTGGGGGTCAGTAAGTAGGTTGATAGCAGGCAAAGCTAGAGCTCTGCTTGACTGAGTAGATTACCAAGAGAAGCCTGGATCAGACTGCGGATACAGAAGAAGCCAACACAAAGCACATTTTTATCTGTGTTCCTGCTAATACTTGTTGGTGTTTTGAATGTCAAATGAATGTTTTTTGTATTCGTATGTAACCATTTAATTTGCTCAATAATATCTGCAAAGGAATCTGCATGTCTTATACATTGGATATCTCCTTGTCTTACATCTGTGCATTCAAAAAAATAAATCAATAATTTAGACGTGTGATATATTACTAGAATGGTTAGAGTTGAGATTTCTCCAGACTTCTAAACTTCTTGACTGTCCTCCAACACATAAGCTTTGATGCCTGGTGAGTCTGGAAACGGATAATTTAATACTGACAGATGTCCGCTCTCAGACAGCTTTTACACAGACAAGAACAAGTCAAGCACCTATAAATATATAGAAGAGAGACCTGCCGTGTAGCAAACAGTGTTCGCCCTCACTCAAACAGAGGAGACATCAGTTTCTACGGACAGACGGACGGACGGACAGACAGACCAACGGCCATCTACTTCCTAATAACTTGTAAGCTTCAGCAATACATTAAAAAAAACATCAGCATGGTTCAAAATTCACACTTGTGCCACTGTTCTTGTAAATTTCTCTCCCAATGAAACACTGTGTTTTTGCCTTGTGCATATGTCTCTCCTCTTTTTCTCTCATCCTCTCTCTGCATTCGTGTCCATATGTGTAGAAAAAGAAGAGGAGAGTAAAGTGCATCGCCAATGTGAAGGCTTTGATATGGCCAGACAGCAGTCCTACTTATTATCAATGAAGAAGCATGCAGTTGCCTCCTGGGTCTCATAGGGACTTTGATCTAGATTGTAGCCCTATTGTTGTAGCTGTTGGACAGGGATGGTTTATTTTGGGGGGGGGGCGGCGAGACAATATCACCTCCCCTGTGAGCAAAATCCATCGACTTATTGGAAATCCAGCCTCATTTTCAGAGTGACAGAACAAAATAAAGTCAGGTGATAACAAAAATTGGATGATACAGTGTTGAGATTGAACATTCAGCGGCGTGGAGGTGTTCTTCACTGCTTTTATCCGGACTGCACGTCTTGACCCGGTTGTTACCTCGCCGTTATGACTGCAGAGGGACTGAGAGTCACACTTCTTGTCATCCTTCTCCTCTTCACCCAAAATCACAAAACATACCAGTCTTGGAGGGTGATAGAAAGAAATGTAAAAAGCCTCATAAGTCTGTTTTGTCATATCCCCACAGTGAACTTCTACTGCGTTCGAGATTCAAAACTGGGAATGGTCCATCTCGTCCAGCCACGAGGCAGGACTGGTGGGGAAGTCAGGGTATCCTGTACTGCTGCCTGTGGAGAGGTCTGAGGTCGGGCCCCCTGCCATGGCCCTCAGGGCCTGGCCCACTCCTCCTGGCCCGCCCTGCACCACCAGACTGTCCATGTTGAAGCCCAGGTTGTTGAGGAGAGGGGTGTGGCCGGGCAGGGAGGTGATGGAGGAGGGCGACTGAGGGAGACCGTAGGGGCTTCCTGCTCGGATGTCGTGGTAGGGTTGTCCTGCTGCATCTACAGAGAAGCCACCGTTCAGCACTGCGCTGTTGGTCACGTCACCGACACTCCCATAAAGCCCGTTGGTGTGGCCGAGATCTGACAGGACCTGGTCATCTGTGGGGGAGATACCACCACTTAGCATGAGGAGTGTAAAAACTTTGACATATCAACGGTGCTGTCAACTGCAAGAGCATTATATAGTTATTATATTTCAATACCGTTAAGTGCTTTTATGAGTGAGATTTATTGTGACAACATTATGTGGATTTCACGAAGGTACAGTAAGTGGACCACTGAAGTGTTTGATAAGCTTTTGAGTTTTGTTGGGGAGAAATGATGTGCTTTATGTTCTTCTCTAACAAAGGAGGTCTGTATGTGTGCAATTACTGCAGCACAAAATATTTGTTTCCATCTCAATCCCTCCCCCGGGTGGCTTCAATAACAACAAAGCCCCAGAGCACTCTCTCTTTCTAATTGACTAAAAGCCTTGCATGCTTTATGGAGTTTCTGTCACCATGTTTTCATTTCTCATAAAAATGGCCTTCTTTTTAAAAGTGGCTTGAAGACTTTTATGACTACCCAAAACGGGGTTTGCGAACATTAAATAACATGGGGATGTCTAAAATGTCGTTTGCATCCCACTAAGGACCCTCTCTCTTTTCCAATAAGCTCCATCATGACGACAAACTGAGGCAGGAGGATGCGTCAGCCGCCACAGGGAGGTGTGAGGACAATGTTAAATGAGAATGCCGTTTTGGATTTGCCTGACACCGTGCACCGAACAACACAAGAAAACATATGAAATGCCACAAAGAAACATTCATTTGCTGCTGCACTCAGAACCGTGTCATTTAGCAACTTGTAGGGTCCCTTAATCCCATTACCACGACAGCATGACTGACAATTCCCTTTCAGGGATCTCTCTCTTAAGCAATAATAGATATATACTCGGGTGAAGTTATCCACACAAGACGTACCTCTGAAGCTCAGTTCACTGTCACTGAGTCCTGCGTCATCGGCTGAGCTTTCCTTCTCCACTTTAGTTCCCCCTCGGCTGCGTTTGACACTTTTATAAAACTGAGTCCAGCGATGTCGACCTGCATCTTTCTTCAGACGTTTTTCCTTTGCTCGCCGGTTCTGGAACCACACCTGACAGAGATAACGATAATTGTCTTTAATTGAAAATAAACATTAATATTGTAATTATTCAAAACAATTAAATACCACTAATAATCATCATCATCATAAATTATATATTTTCTCAGTTTAATTTCACCTATTCAGTGTTTTCATGATATTTCAAATCTTAAACTCTTCAAACGTTTCTGCTTGACTCAAAATAGTTCATACACACTGGAATACATAGTACATGTAAAGCACAACCAACCTGGTCTAAATTAATAGACTCTCATCATAATAAACTAAAAAAAACAAAATGTTCAAAATGGTTTTGCAAATAAATTCCGTTTGAAATTAAACCAACAGAAAAAACAAGAACATTGTATTAAGAAATATTAAAGCACAGCATAAAGTGGCCACAAAAGAGGCTCCTTACATTAATATAAGTATATTCATACCTCTTAAGAGTTGTTTGTATTGTGTCTTTTAAATGAAATACATTTGTCTTAGCTCTTCAGGAAGGTTGTTTGAAATCCTGACAATACCCTGATAATAAAGGCCCGATTGCTTGTTTTACATTTGTGATATAAATTAGGATTAATTATTAAAAATAGCAGCTACTTTAAAGATGCTCAAATCAGGGTGATGTGGGGAGAAACTGAGCTGCTGCATTTTGTACAGGCTGGAGATAACTGAGAGCCTTTTGCAGGAATATGGACACCTGGATGAAAAAAGACCTCTACCTGCACTACTCTCATGTCCAGCCCCGTCTCCGAGGACAGCTGCTCTCTGACGTGGCGTGCCGGCTTCGGCGAGTTTTTGTAGGCACTTTTGAGGGTCTCTAGCTGCTTGGCCGTGATGGTGGTCCTCGGTCGCTTGGTCCCCGCTTCTGAATCATCTGAAAACATCATTACAAGTGTGAGTGACTTCTTCTTACATTTGTCACGTTGCCTTAACAGGCAGTGAACCTCAGCCTTTGCGTGCGAGTACATGTGTGTTAAATGAAGTGAATGGTCATGTATGGAAGTGTATTATTGTCCTTGTGCATCTGTCCCACTCCCACAGCAGAGGACATAAATCTACCCAGCCGGAGTGCCAGAGGAACGGAGTTATTGGGGCCGCACCATATAAGAGCATTGCTTCACTTTACATAATCAATCAGAGATGCATGGAAATCTCAGAAGAGAGGGAGGGAGAGAGACAGCATCCACACCCAGACGACAAACAACCTAGATCCACAGTCAGTAGTCATTTCACTGCATTATACAGGCTACACAGCTTGATCACATCCTCCACTATAATATTTTGATGTAGTTAAATCAGGCCAGAGCCCGCCACATAACCTGTGTCTGACTGTATGGACAAAAAACAAACAAACAGTTGAAACAAATCATTTTAAGTAAAGTTTCAACCTGTATTTTTCTTTTCAAGTGATTGGATTTTAGCTGAGTATCGGCTAATGCATAATATCTCGGATGCAAGCAGACCTACCGTTCTGTTTTGCAGTCTCATAATCCACCTTGCACACCAGCCTCCCATCCTCCATGAGGTAAAACTCGTCCCCAGTGGCCAGTTGTCGGCTGCACATGATGCAGGCAAAGCAGTGCAGGTGATACACAAAGTCCTGCGCCTTCCTCACAACCTGCGTCGGAGGGATCCCCTGTTGGCATGATGCACATTTTGTTCCAAAACGCCTGCGGGAAAACAAGAAGCAGAGAGCTGCCGTTAGGAAAGGGTAGCAGCAGGGTAGACTGACACCCTTCTCCCATTTATACCCACTTTACAGGCTGATGGAGATAGTGGGACCAACCCAGATTAAAATTTCACATGCTAGACAGCTATTTCTTCAACTGCAGCCAAGAGTGATGGCACAGTGTCTGTATTAATAGAAGCTCCAGCTGTTGTAGAAGGAAAAATCAGCACTGGAATGCATTTCTGTTAACGATAGACCTGTCCGCAGGCTGATGGATGGAGAGGATCAATGCACTGTGTGGTGTGTGTGTGTGTGTGTGTGTGTGTGTGTGTGTGTGTGTGTGTGTACGTGTTTGCATGTTTATGTGTTTGCAGATGAAGTACTGAGAGCTAAGGAAGAGGAGGAGGAGGAGGAGGAGGAAGAAGAAAAGGAAAAAGAGGAAGAGGAGGAGGGGTGCTCACAGTAAACACACCCTGAGGAGAACCAATAAAACACTGACTCAGGAGAGGCTTTAAATCACACAACCAACCCACAGAAATAAAAAGAGCAAGGTGAAGCCTCCAAATCACCACTGGGAAGCACAGGCCACTGGAATCTGTGTGTCTACACATGTGTGTTTCTGTGTTTGTGCTCGTGTGTGTTCTCCAGTCACACGTGTCCCTCAACCACTGTTTGAACATGCAAACGTCCCCCTGTTGTCCCCTGGGTCGGCTAACACAGTTAGCTCTCTGTGAGACTCCAGAGCTCTTTAGGTCTCATTCAAGCTTTGAGCATTAAAATCTTTCAAACATGATTTAGTAAAAAGCCCGGATATGCTGATCCTTCTTTGGATAAAAGTCAAACTCAATTTTCTTCTGTAATGCCTCAGAAATCCAATCGGAAGAAAGAAAAGAAAAAAAGGGGCAAAAAGATAGAAACAAAAAAAATGTTGTTTTTTTGTGTTTGTTTTTAATTCTTTTGTTTTCTCACATGATGTCAGCTGGATGAAACAGCCAGTAAAATGTGAATAGTGACATCCATTTGTAACAGGAGGGCACAAAATTAGCACCATTTACCAGCCAAATGTTGGTAAAATGTGCAACCAGCTCCTAGATTTTCTTTACTCACCAGACCAAAAAAAAAAAAAAAATTGGTAAAAAAAATGTGACCATTCACCAAACGCTAAAAAGTAAATTTTACACTTTGGTGATCGGTGTTTAATACAAAATCATATTAATAACCACACAAAAAGGATAATTAATGATCATCAAACATGATACATTTACTAGCTCTCTGTGTGGATGTTTTGGTTCAGAAATAAATTGATAAACCCTTCCTGTAAAAATAACAGATGTTGACTAAATTGATTCTTTTTCATAATAATAAAGAATGAATTTCCAAAAAATAAAAGGCAACCGTAAATGAATCCTAAACAATAAGATATAAAGCTAATACATTAATGGAAACCTCTAGGCAATAAAGCTAACAGTTTGCTAAATGCTAGCACTGAAAAATACTAGCAACATTAGGACACCAGATAGAGTATAAAACAGTATTTAGGTTGCTTTGTAAATATCAAATATACACATATTTCAGTTTGAATCCGTCGCTTTTCCTCTTAAAACACCCCGATCAGAAGTTAAATTAAACAGTTTTTATGCAGAAAAGCATGGGCAACTGAAAAAAAAAAATTACATAACTCAATCACTGAGACAAAAAGCACTAAGAAAAGCACACTGACTTGAAGAAATCCTCCTTGCAGTAGACGCTTCCTGCCCGGGAGAAACATTTGTCCGCCAGCGGAGTCTGACAGTCGGCGCACTTGAGGCACTTGGAGTGCCAGTGTCTGTCCAGCACCTTCAGGATGAACTTGTCCAGGATGTGCTGACTACAGCCGGCACACTGAGGGATCTCTGTGGGACAGAACACAGCACAGGGTCACACACAAGTCAGGGAAGGAAACTCTGGGATGCACAGAAATGTCAGGCCAGCGTTCATTTATTGTCAGCGGTAAAATAAAGATAATCTCATATATGATTAAAGCGGTAAGGAGGATTCATTTAAATCTGAACTTTGCACATAAAAGCAGGAGGTTTTCCTTTTTAAGCTCAGTATCGAAAAGCACAATATCTCAGATCACAGGATTCACATTCAGCATTTTCAGTTGCTATTATATTATATCCATTCTGGTATTTAATGATAAAGGATCCTGATTAGAAATATTTTGTATCAGTCTAATCTTTAAATCGATTAACCCTGCGATATATATTTTATCTCTAATTTCTATTTTAGAGTTTTTAGTTTATTTTTGACCCACTTTTGTCTCGGTGCTCTTAAAAAAACAATTTTATGGTTAAATTAATTTTATTTTATTAACCTTGTTAAACAGTAAAAACAGAAGATACCATGTTAAATAAAGCAATTGTCTCTCTGCTTTTGTTTTGTGAATTTGTCCGTCACTGTCCAAGGTGCTGACCTCGGCTGTTTCCCAGCAGTGCAGAGGTTCTCTACTCTCTGTACAATCATATCTATTTCTTTAGATGTTTTCCAGGAGTTATGGTGGCATCAGTAAGGTGGCTGCTGGGTGTAAATCAGGGTCGAGACGAGATTAAATTTCATTTTTTGTGGTAGTGAGAAACAAAAGCTGGGAGGCAGCAGCAGCCCACGTGTGAACATTCATAAACAGGGATCATACAGTGTTTAACCTTCCGATTGCCTAATATTACCAAAGTCTGCAGCGGCATCCATAAACTGCAGATTTCAAAAAGTTAAATTAAATTCATGAATCAATGAGAAAATCAAATGTTCATCCAGTTTAAATTAATTAAAAAACTGGACCTTTAATAAACAACCAAATTCCTTAATTTAGTCTATTTATATAACGCTAACACCAACATGTAGGCCTACAGGTTTATTTTCTAGCATTTCATCATAATTAAATGTATCCTTTTCGTCATATATAACAGAAACTAATCCGTGATTGATGAAAAGAGCTCCTCCTAAAAAAACAACAACACTGACGATTCCTTTTGCATTTTAATCTTCCTCATTTATTCTGCAAACAGCAGTGCGATTTTATTTTCTTTGGCGGCTTCTCTTACTCAAACATCCACATGATATCCGATAATGAAAAATCAATATCGAGGAGAAGTGGACAGAGCAAACCCCAGTATAAACACACACGCGCACACACACACACACACACACACACACACACACACACACACACACACACACACACACACACACACACACACACAGCAAGCTGCGGCTGTTCTCGGCCGTGAAATCATCTTACAATAACCGTCTAAAGCTCAAGATGCCTTATGCTTAATCTCATCACATACAGTCCACAAAACACAAAGCTCCCGGGTTGTGCAACATGGAGGTCAAGGCCGCATGCACACAAACACACATTGTATAGGTTTTTAAAAAAAAATATATTTATCATTTGTAATACATTAGTGCTTTTTGGGGGGATTATATTTGTTTTAATTTGAAGCAGCGGTGACTAAAATGTACCAATTAACTACTTATTATTATTATTATTATTATTATTATTATTATTATTATAATTATTATAAACCACTGCTACCATTATAAAGCAATGCACACAATAAAGACAGAGCAACATTCCTGCACAGACGCAAACAGGATTACAGGTTGGACTGGCCTTGTTTCACCTGAACATGTGAGTGAATTCGTACAGGGTGTGATATAAAGAATTATTTAAAAAGATTGAGATTGAATCTGAATCTGCACCTGGGTTTTTTTCTATATCTAAATAAGAGGCATTTTAAATATCTGGAGATAAAGTGGTGGTTGGATGAAGCTGCGCGAAGAGAAGTGGTGCTGAAAGGAAAGCAGCACGATCTTGGCAACGAGGGAGAGTCCACAGTCTAGCTTCAGTGTGTGTGTGTGTGTGTGTGTGTGTGTGTGTGTGTGTGTGTGTGTGTGTGTGTGTGTGTGTGTGTGTGTGTGTGTGTGTGTGTGTGTGTGTGTGTGTGTGTGTGAGAGAGAGAGAGAGAGAGTAAACCTCGTGTATTCAGGAGGGCTTCATATCTTGGTATCTGTTGCCACCACTCTCCACTCTTCACTACATTCAGCCTCATCACCTCTTTCATTTCACACAGGAAGAGCAACACATTTTGCTTTAACAGGTTTTTTTTTAATATAAGAAGAAGTGCAGTCTGGCAGCCTCTCAAACTTTCAATTGTCAAATGATTTGTGGTAATTAAACGTGAAGTAAACACTTTATATCCCAGACTAATAGCCTGCAGGTTAAGGTTTGGGTGTAATTGGCCTGAGTCAGCAGAGCACTCTGTCCACGATATAAAACATTATTTAGATAAATTCGCTGTTGCTTTTATTCCTGGAATAATCCAGGTTTTAAATCCAGGATGAATGCTGGTGCTGCAGGGGGCTGAGTGGCAGGATCTTTATCCAATCTTTTAATCTGCCTCGATTTATAAAATTAAAGAGCATAAGCCGACCACATATAGTCTCTTTTTACTTTAGTCAGGTTTAAATACTTTGCATATCACACATAATTATTAGTCCTATTTTACTTTATTTTGGTTTGCAGTTGGATTACACTAAACAGGCGACAGTAAAATGAAAATAAACCTAATATTATTTTATATATTTTAGTTATTTGGAACCCAATTGAATGTGAGATTTTAGCCCAAATATTTAGAGCTAGGAACAAAAGGTTTAATTATCAGTGTTTTGAAACCAAATAGCAGTCTAGTAATTATATAACTGTGTTATCCCATTTTGTTGTGGATTATTTTTGTTTTGGAGGTAGCCTATTAAATTTAGTCCATCTGTACATTTGACTAACTCGCCTATAAATAATTAGGTCAGAGCAGAGATGTATCTCATTGCACTTCTATCTCGATTGCACGCTCAGATTATAAACGGCCTGGCACAGATTAACACGCAGGGACGAACAGATGTAAAGTAATTCTCGCCTTTGATGCTGTAAGGTAAAAAATACCATACGGTGCTGTAAAATAAAATGTATAATGAGCCTAAACGAACTAATTGTAAAACATATTAAAAAACTGATATCTAGGCATTGCTTCAGAGACAAAATCCCCCCCAAAATCAAGCGTATCAGGCATTTATTTGACCCAGTAATGAGTGTCAATCAAAGTCAGTGTGTATTTGTCTGATGGGTGATGACAACTGCGTCTGATCTCTTGACCATGCAGGCTCGTTTACAAATTAACAGCTGCCTGTGAGGACTCACTGTAAACCCAGCAACCTGACGGAGGATGCAGCAAAGTTTGAGGCCGAACTGGACAATTAAATCCTGTTGCTTTAAATAACAGAAATTATTATGCTTTCTTATTTTTTATGTTCAAAGGATGCGATGAATAACCAAAGTGCCATCCTTTGCACTAGTCAAAGTGTTGCAGCCTATCGCAGAATAGAGCCTGTAGCCCTGTGGAGGCTGCAGAGATTAATTGGACATGCGGGGATGCTCACTGCTTTGGCCGGTAATCAGTGTTATTTAAAGCTTCTTTATGCTCGTTGAAATATTTGCAGCATGACACATCACCGGCCTGTACGTGACAACCTAAGACTGAGAGCTTCAGCCTCCTCTCCTCATCCTCCTCGGCCGAGTTACTGTACCCCAAACCCCCCGCTCCCTACAGCAGCACAGGTTGCACCCGACCAACCGGTGTCCACACTGATCATCGACAGAAGGAGCAAAAAAAAGGAGCGTAAAATATATCTTACGTTGCAGTGGCACTCCGAGAATCTCCGGTAAACTCTTTACAGGACTCTCTGTCGGTAGGACCGCCGCACTTTGCATCATCGTGATCCAAACCGGGAGACAAACGCACGCACATACACCCGCAACACGGTGGGCGCACTCCCCCGTCCTGTCTCGTGGAGAAAAAAAAGTATGATGGTGCTGATGTTGAGGCCTCTCTCCTCCTCTCTGCAGGGTGAGCTCCCTCGCCGTCCCGTCAAGCCTCTATCCCTGTTACGTCTCTCTATTCCCGGGGACGATGTCCGTGCCGTGCCGTGCTGGGCTGTTTTGGAGTGAATCAGACAGGCTGCTCAGTCCATTCAGCGCTGCAGGGGCGGTGGGGCCTGACGTCACCGCGGCAGAGGCTCACCGGGGGCCAATGGGAGCGCAGGAAGAGGAGGCCCCCGAGGGCGGAAAGCATCCTCCATAGGTGTACAAGCGAGGAGGAGAAAGGAGAGGAGGAGGAGGAGGAGGAGGAGGAGAGCGTCTAACATGGTATATGAAAATGTCTCCGGAGAGGCGGGACTGTGTTCCTGTGGAGACCATAAATAGCTCACTGCAGTGGCTCCCGGAGGGGCCCCGGGCCAGCAGGGCTCCTTCAGGAGAGGAAGAGTAGGAGGGGGCGCCCCAATGCAGCCAGTGATCAGTTAACATTTCACTTTTTTTATAATTTACAAAGAAAGGATAAGAGATTTAATTGTAGATTGTAATTTTTGTATCTTTAAACTACATTTTCTGCAGATTTTTTGGACAAAATGACACTTCAAATGTAAGTTATAGATAAGTGAGCAGGTGGGGGTGATACACTGACCTATTTTACAAAATTCTATATTTTTCTAGTTTTTGTTATTGGTATTGGCTGAGTTAGGCACGTGGTTGTGATACAAAAGGCGCACATATAGGTTTTTGTCAACAAGAAATAAAACCAATGATATTTCCCAAATAAAAGTGTTCCTTTTTCTTTCAAACAGCCCTCTTATATTAGTTTAAATATCTTTTTCAGAGTGAAAACGTGGCAAACTGAGTTGTCACTAACAGCCAAGGGAGCAAAAGTGAAGGCACACAGCAGAAGAGATATTATTGGACACATGTGTGAGTGAGATCCACAGCACCTTCACCTCGGTGAGCTTTTCCCCGGCGGTGTGTGGCAGCGCCCAGCTGGATCTCTGTCAGTGACAGGTAGGATTAGGAGTCTGGGCGCAGTCCTCCTGACACTGTTCATTTCAAACCCCATCGTCTGAGACTGCTCTCCCGGATAAGATATTCCCCCCGGAGGGCTGCTAGTTCAAGCTAGATGAACTCAATCTTCGCTTCCAATTTACTTCAAGCGTGGAAAGAGAAAGCACACAGTGGCGCTTTCCCGCCGGTCCGCCTCCAAACCAACAGCGAGTCCGTCTGCAGGTCCCACACCTCACAGCACATCTGACACATCTGGATACACGGTTAACTACAGCAACACCACTGTGTTCATTTTGAACAAGAAATTATTTGTCATGTTGTTTGATTTTAGTCAAATTAATCCTATAGGCTAATTTAATCTCATAATTTAGTTTTTCAGGACTTTAAATATTATAATTAACATTGTATCAATTATTATTATTATTATTAGTAGTAGTAGTAATAATAATATAAAGAGAAGCTGTAGATTCTGTGTTAATAAAAAAAAATTGCAGGTAAATTTCTTGTAATAAATAAAATAATATTGGAAACTCTGATATTCTGCTTTGGGAAAATAAATAGATTTTGCATGTTTTCAAAGAAGTGGCCAACATTTTCTCTCTCTACACTATGCTGATTTCTCCTCGTATCTTTTCTCGTACAGCCTATTTCCAACAACGGGCTGTTTATTCTATTGTCGCAGGCTGTTTATATAGGCCCACTGTAGGGACCCACAATCCCATAAGCCGCTCGCCTGTGTGGGTAATGTTTCAAATGTAATTTAGTAAAATGAAAACGCACATCAAGCTGATTAAAAAAGGGAGGCTGGAATATTACAGCAATGTTATCCAACCCATTCAAAGCTGCAGTCTCCAGACCAGGTGTCCCCTCATCCATCCATCCATCCATCCATGGTGTGCATGTGTGGCAAGGGAATCATCTGGTCTTACTTTATTTTCATTATACACTTTTCCCCTCAAGATCATTCAATTTATTCAACTATTCAATTACTCTGATTGTTGGTATCGAGACCCTTTAGCTGCCCTGGAAAACAATGCAGATAAAAATGCTCTTAACCTGTCAGCAAAGGGCAACACAATTAGAATAATTGACGGATGCAAAATGCAGAAAGAAAAAAGATGTGAGTGCGCACATCTGGTTCAGTTGGACACTAAATGATGTGCTGCGTTTTTTCATCGTTTAAAAAAAAAAGTGGGAATGACAAAATGAATTGCGAAACAATGAACATCTGGATCTATTAGGCGTTTTACTGCACAACATGACAGTAAAAATTTAAAAGACCAAAAAAAAGCTACATTTTGGCAAAATATGTCCAATTGTTCACTGCTACAGTCCCTCACGCATAAATCAAATTTAACTTTATACCAAATCGTGTTTTTATCCTTAAACAATGCACTCAAATGCGAGAAAGAAAAGCAAGAGAAGGAGAAAAAAGAAAAAGAATAATTGCCAAATTATTACAATAATGCACTTTCCGAGAGAGGTAAAATGACTGATCTTTGTCTATCTGAAGGTGCTGTAAGAAAAAAAAAAAGAAGCTGTAGAGGAAGCAGCAATAATTCAAGCAGAGGGCGACTCTTTTGCCACCGCAGTTGACCCAGCCACCTCTAATTAGATCTAATATTTCAGTGGAGGAGTCCATTGACATCTGCGATTCATAGATCCATCTTACCGAGCAGGTAGTCAGAAATATAGAAACACATCCATCTGTAGAGGATGAGCACGATTATACGAGGTATAATACAGGTGTGTGTCACCCTGCACTGTCATATATAACTCACTGCAGCGGGCCTGCTTCTCCATGAGCCAAAACATCAAATATTTAATTTGTTGAATTTATTATTATTATTTATGTGTGTAAATACAGGATTTATTCTTCATCTTTTTCAAACATTATCTATTTATTTATTTATTTATTTTTTTTTTTTACAGAGGTCAATCACGCTCACATAGACACAACTAAATATCTAATGAGCACAAGAGCAAAACGCACCACACTACAAGAATAACAGCACATTAATATTGCGCGCAAATGACTCCAAAACAGCACTTATAATTTACTGAAAGGGTTGTGATCAATAAAAACAAAATATCTCAATCCCAGAGGCTTCACTTAAGGGAGGATGCATATTCTCAGACAACTTTAGATGCAAGATGAACATGTAACATTGCACAGTGTAGACCTACCTAATCACCGCAGCTCGCCGGTGATTGTGAGGCAGGTTGTCTCCTCTTCTTCCTCCTCCTCTTCTCCTTCATGCCGCCGAGGGCTTTTTTTTTTTTTTTCCTCAGCGGGATGAGCCGAAGCTCGCAAGGAAACAGCAGCAGTCAGTCCACACTGTGTCCGGTATCCGCTGACAAACACAACATTAGGTAGCAATGGCACCGTGTCCCTAACCATTTGGTCCGAAAGCAGGAGAGGAACAGAGAGAGGGAGAGAGGCAGAAAGCGAGGGGGGAAACCTTAGGAGAGAGCACGGAGGAGAAAATTAAATTGCACTTGGGGGGCAAATTCTATTAGGGAATAGTTATTGTCTCCTGACAGCTCCTGTCCATTTGGGTAATTAGTAGAAGAGATTGGTTGAACAAACGGAATCTATTCCCGTCAGAAATGATATTTTCCAATTCCCTGATTGAACCTGACCATGTCCTGCTAAGACGAGGCGGTAATAGGCTCATTTGACTCAAATAACTGGGATAACAGTCCAGCCAAAGCCTGGCTGGTGAAAGACTTAATCGAGATTTTAAAAAAATAACTTGAGGGTGGTGTTTTATTCTTTTCAGAACACACTGGTGAGGCTTATAAAAGCTGCACTTGTCACACATATTATGGTGGAGAAAATTATTATTAAATTCTTCTAATTAAATTGGATATGAGGAAACAAAACAATCATTTATAGCTGCAAGAAAACTGATTTTGACAGGTGTTGTGGGTCTGTATTCACAAATAAGATGCTTTAGACTGCAGAACCTTTTATGCTAAAATCAGCAGGTATTTCTGTAGGAATCTCTGTGGACAGCAAAGATATCATTCTGTAATAATATATTATCCAGTTTAATTTAAAGTCCTGTGATTCACTGGCACCTGCTCAAGGTGTTGCCCTGCCTGCAGGCTGCCCAGTGCATGCTGGGATAGACTCCAGACCCTAATGACCTTCATCAGAGGAGCTTGGGAAGCGAATTATTGAATGGATGAAATCCTGGATCTAAAACTTTGCATGGACAGACAGTGACTTGTTCTTCAGTGAGGAGCCATCAGTTCAGATGTCATGGCGCTTATTGATCTGAAACCCTGTGAGCAGTAATGTCTGAATGTGACTGATGAATGTGCTCCATGAACTACGGCACAAAAAGATGTCAACAAAGCCTTTAAATAAGTAAACATATACACAAAATGTTAATACGTTTCTGTAAGGACGCCTCCAAACCAACAGCTATTTGTTAGTGTTTTTAGAGTTTTTTATCTGATGAGGATTTCCTTCACGGCCCTCGAGTTGAGGGTCTTCTCAGAGGACTGACCAAGGCACAACATACAGTACATCTCAATTAAAAACTTACCTGCAACCTAATTTTTGTCTACCTTTATTGCTATAAAATAAGTATATACAACATAACTGTTACAAACATTATATGCTTACGCACCATATTTTCCTATTTAGATTTAAGAGAAGGATTCATATCTGATGCCCCTTTTATTACTAACAAATGACATTAAGCAAAACCATACTAAAGCCCTTTTCATAAACTGGAGATTTTCCATTGAAAGCGAGGAGTGAATCTTCCCACTTCACTGACAGGAGCAGTGTCAGCTGAGTGAATTAAAACAATGTGACTGACAAGTGTTGGATCTTCTCCAGCTTCATTACCTACACTTCCTGTAAGCTATATGCTAACTCTGGAGAGAGTGAGGGGGGGCAGTGAGACCAGAAACATAAAAGATCAGAGGCACAACCGAACAGAAGAAGTAAAGGTCAGATTTGTGTTGAAATTAAAATAGTCCAGTTGAGCATATTATCAAGGCCTAAATGCATTTGATAGTGGGGGGTTATTGATTCTCAGGGATTCCCCTCCCTTCTGTCTACACTTCTTCTGCACTCGGCTGTGCACAAATGAACTGCAAGGACTTTCAGTTTGCTAAAAATCAAAGATGTTTCATTGTAGTCGTTCAAAACACACACCACCGGAACCACAAACCAACACGGGAGGGCAGAAACTAACCAGTCTCAGTTGGCAGGCTGGCAGTGCAGTAAAGTGACTCATGTTCCCCTTGGTACAAACAGCATCCCAGCACACTGACGGTGAGACGAGATGTTTGGGAGGATCAGCCGATGAGTGTCCACATGAAAGGGGGAGGGACCGCAGCAGTAAAATGAGATGGATCTGACCCTACTTGACTCCTTCCTTTAAAAGGCTGAATGCTTAAAACCGAAAGGGGATCTGGCTTAGTTTGGATGTGATATATACCAATACCATATATTAACCTCTTTTTCATAATTTATTCACTGGCTCTCCCCCTCTCCCCCCTCTCCCCTTCCCTCCCTCCTTCCTTCTCCCTCTGTCCACAGCAGGAAGCTTTATAGTATTATTAAAGTCAGAAAGAGAGATGACAGAAAAATGCATCAAGCCCCTCCTGCATTTTAATATCAATACCGGAGGGGTAATAAACATCGAGGCAGAGAGCATGCAGGAGAGGAGCGACTATAAAACCCTACATTGTCTAATTTATGGAAGACAACAACAGGGCAGCAAGGTGAGGTTTTTACCCTTCAGTCTGTGCTTTCATAACTCAACGATGTCACAACATTTGTTTTGTAGTGAACAAACAAACAAAAGTTTAAAATAAAGTAATTTGCCTTTGAGTGAATTGCTCAAATTGTACTCGGAGGAGAGACGATAAACCTGAATATTTTCTTTAAACTTGCAATGTTTCCTGCAAAAGACAGCTGGTCTGTTCTGGAGGATTTAGTGACATGACATGTTCAAATTTCTACCTATTTTTGCACTTTAAAGACTTCCTTTCTTAAGCTTCAAAGTTTGTTTTTGACCTTGGAAACAACAAACAGCAGAACTGTGACTCCAGGAACTGGCCTCCTTTATCTGCTACCCTTATTGCAGCATTATATGTGGGTACTCAGCTGTTTGTGATTGCTTATTTTTGTCACTTTACCTCCAGCTAAACTATTATACTAGTTGTCTGAGGCTAATATTATACAACATTATAAATAACCTTTAGGTCACTGTTATTCTGTTTATGTATTTTACTCTTTGTACTTTTGATTACTCTATATGTAAATCCTTACTAGATTGATATATACGTAATGTTGTTCTGTCACTATTCTGTTTCTTCTTGGCATGAGAGGCAATGTAAGCACTTTTGCACAGTTTTGCACAATATACATTTGTTTGTAACTTGACGTTTGTAATTTATTTTTTACAATACCGCTGGTGTAACTCTTGATCGTGGTATCTCATCTCGGTATGATTTGTAATCCACAGAATTTTTTGCAACTCTGTGTTTACAGTTGCCTTCATAAAAACTTTAAAGACCAGCTTGCTGTCCTCAACCTTTATTGGAAGTATGTTTAACTTCTTCATCGCTGTGCACCCACACACATAACAAGGGTTTTATTTTATGTTTCATTTAATCTGCAGGAACAGCTATCGAATTAAACTTAAAATGATAAAATGATTCTTCTTCTGAATTCAGACAAAGAGCATAAACAGCTCTGAATGAATCTCGATTTAGATTTGAAGCCTCTGTCCTCAGTGTGAACCGCTCACCTCAGCCTTGGCAAGGCCGCAGACAGATATTACATTGCAGCCAACTTCCTCATTAACCGTCATTAGTCTGAACCAGCATAACACTTGCAGCTCACTGAGGCTCAAGGCACCTGATAAAAGGCTTCTGTAGAGTAAGCAGCACGAACCGACGCTGACTCCAATCCTGTAACAAACACAGGTGAACATTTAAACAGATTAACAGATCAGATGTGTGGGAGAAGAGTACATAAACCAAGAGACCAAGTGATGATTGTAATTCTTTTCCTCACATTATTTTCAAGATCGTAGCAAAGGTAAACAAAAAAGCAGGCAGCGGGTACAAACAAAAAGTTACTAAACACACAAAAAAGTTTTGGACTGACACATAATTCTTCCTTTAGTTTCCCAAGTAAAAAAAAACAAAAACAGCCCACCCTGGTATTAAAATTTGTCAGATGATATATTGGATAATGTTTGAGAAAGGAATAAATAACATGCAGAAGCTTCCCTGTGACAAACTGTGCTTTTCTCAATCCATTCTGGCAATCATAATGTGTCATTGAGGGTCTAATTCAAAGTATCTGAGAGTTTGATTAAGTCACAGAACCACAGCTGCTCAGCCTTGATGCTCCTCTGCTTTAATGTAGGGCTATTAATCAGCCTATTGTGTGTGTGTGTGTGTGTGTGTGTGTGTGTGTGTGTGTGTGTGTGTGTGTGTGTGTGTGTGTGTTGTTAAAGGAATCGACTGCCTTAACTCAACTAATTCACCATCAAAACCTGTCATACTGCTGATGCTGAAAACGTGGTTTGGATAAAGAGATGGACTGAGTGGGGTTTTGGGTAAGAACAGAGTGTGTATATGCGTGTGTGTGTGTGTGTGTGTGTGTGTGTGTGTGTGTGTGTGTGTGTCAGGTTGGGTTGGGGGTGAAGGTAAGGGGCAGGAGTCAAGGGAATTCAAGCAAGCGTTCCAGGAAACACAAAGCTCAAGATCAAGCATCGGCTGTCCTTCAGATGGGCTTGTTGTAATCCGGACGACATCAAACCCTCGTCCTCCATCCGTCCATTTATCCCTCCCACACACTGCTCCCTCTTTCATCCACCTCACCCATGTTATCCTCCCTGAGGGTCTGCCGCGGCCAGCCCCCCCTTGGAGCACACCTCCAAGTGTGTGAGGGAAGAAGCCCCACGAAAGCCGATTGCGTTTTAATAAAGTTTATTATCTGCAGGGAGCTAATCCTCAAGGGTAATCTCTCCCCTCTAGTCCTAAAGGAAAGCTGGATTACTCACTTGCTATAATCCCAATGAAATTGTTAGGATTTAGCTTGCGCTGCACAGCAGATGGCAACAGGCTTTTTCCTTCAACCTTGGATGCTTTAACCCACCATTTCTACATGCAACACCCCTGGTCCTCCTTGCCTCATGTCCTGGTAGTCTTGGTCAAAACAAAAAAACAAACACTTGTTTTTGCCAAACTTGTAATGAATAACATCTGGGATGTTCTCTGAACATATTTTGACTTCTGAGACAGCACAGGAGACAACAAGGTTCACCCCTTCTTTGTAAATTCATGTTATATGATAAATAATAACGTATGATTAATGGGGCTTTAATTAGACAGACTACCTCAACAAATGAAAGGTTTCAGTGACAGAACAGAGTACTGAAAAAGCAATGAGTCCTTATCAAAAATAATTTTATTGATTCAGACAGAAGCAAAGAAGCAAACAGAAAAAAACAGTGTTTTTGAGATGACCAGCCGAAGCTTTACATCGTGGACACAAGCCAAAAACAAATCCTGCTTATTCTAAAACCTTGTCCAGTGTGAACATATGCGTCGCTCCACAACACTTCATAAACAACCAGAGTAGCTGTTATGTGGACTCAGCAGTGTGATGTAATATTCAAAGACGTGACATAATAACGCTCAGTGTAACGTACAGTAAGTAAAGGAGCTGAAGAACAAAGGGCTGATCTGCTCTCCTCTGGTGAAAGTTAGAGTGGACCTGCTCGTCCAGTCACAGTATTCAACAACATGATGCAACATGATGCAACTTCGACAAACTGTAAAAACCTACAAAGCTCTTAGGGACTGGGATTACCATCTGATTTTTAAATGAAACGCAGAAATGTAAAACTTGATAAACACAAAACTCTCAGAGATTGATTGGAGGGAAAAACAATTAATCTCTAATTTATTGGAATTAATGTAAACAAGAGAACAATCAAGTATTTGAGTATTAAATTCAAATGATTCAAATAGTTTTTACTAAATATCAAAAAATTGGGACTGAAATTTATTTGGTCATAGTACAGAGGGACGTAAAAGACCTCCTACAGTCTTCACCCTACTGTGAGATATATATTAAAAAAAAAGAAATCACAAAGAACAAAAATCGCTTAGTAAAAAAAAAAAAATTAGTCTTCATACAAATAAAAAAAATCCTCATTCATCTCACTGGGTTTAATTTCATCCTTCATAAGTGGTCAAACAAAATCAAAAGCACACGATTATCAGGCACAAGCCCCAAACAGAAACCCACTTATGGAAATATAAATCTATATGCACAGATTCTCCACAGTTGAGGTGATGCCTGAAAAGCTCTGGAGGCCCGATTAATTGTAAGGTTGAATAACTGACCCGATTTTCAAAGATTTTGAAGGCAATATGCTAATTTTCCCTTCTCCTCCTCCAGTTAGACATAACAACCATTTAGGGTAAAACACGCTGTCGCCTACTTTGGCTGTAGGTAACAGTTAAGTGGACCACCTAAGATTGCACTAATCTTGACACATCCCCTTACACTAACCCCAACACTAGCCTACATGAACCTAATGAATGTTAATCATTGCTAACTCAGGGGAAATTTGAATGCACTTTGGTTCAGGGCAGGGCTACTTTAGCTCGACGTAGCCTGAGGCGGTTTTTGAAGAAAAGGTACATGGCCAGAAGACACATGGAGGACAGGAAATAAAGAATGACACATAAGCTGATGTCCAATCTGGAGAATCCAATGCTCAGCACAGACATCCAGCGTCCTCTGTGGCTCAACTCGGCCTCCTCAACAAAGTACTGGCCTGTCAGGTCTCGCTTCTGCAGTCGCTTTCTCTGCTGCCCCACGTCCAGCTCAAAGTCTGCTTCTATAGGCTGCAAGCCCACCATCCCGAGCCCTGCGTCCAGCTCCATGCCGAGCCCAAACACAGGCCCGGGCTCCTGCTCCTCTTTCCTCTGCAGGGTGCGTCGTTTGATCCGGCTGGAGGCAGCCACCCGCAGCGCTTTGGCCTTGTAGTGCTGGTTGACAAATGAGTCGAGATCCACGATGTCCTCCTGCGGCTCTCGCATCCTCATCCCCACAATGCTCGGCCTCCCGTGGGCCTGCCGCCGGCCTCTACCCACCTCCAATTCAGGTTTGGACCAGGGGGTCGGCTCGGATTTATTACCGTCCATCTCATTTGCTGCTGCTGCTCCCTCCCCACCTTCCTCCTCTTCATCTGCCACTGCTTCATCCTGCAGCCCCTCTTCCTCCTCCTCCTCCTCTTCTTGCACAGTGGGTTGTGATGGATTTGTCATGGAGTCCAAGGCCTCCCTGGCTTTCCTCTCTAAACATTTCTGAGCTTCCAAAGCTTGCTGCTTCTCATGTTTTTCCCTCTGTTTTGCCAGGACCTGGCTTTCATCGTCGAGGTAGTCTGACAGGGGAAAAGAAAGACACAAGAACATTATTTCTTCATTATTTAACAAGATTTTATATGATTTTAAAAAATTAAAACTTTAAGTTTGATAGAACTTGTCAAACCCAATTAAAGGTCCAGTGTGTAGGATTTAGTGGCATCTAGCAGCATAGTTGCAGATCACAACTCCCTCGCTTCACTCTCCCTTTCCCCTTCCGAGTGCGAATAAGAAACTACGGTGGCCGCAAAACGTGTGAGAAACACCCCTATCATGAGCCCCTGTTTGGTTTGTCCCTTCTGGGCTATTGTAGAAACACTGTGGTTCAACATGGCAGACTCCATGGAAGGCGAACCCGCAGTGTCTGTAGATATAAACAGCTCATTCAAAGGTAACAAAAATATAACAATTCTTATTTTTAGGTGATTGCAAACTGATGAAAACATACCTATGAATGTTATATTCAATTCATATTCAAGTGTGTTGCAGCATGAGATTAAAGGTAAAGGTTATAATTTTACACACTAACATTTTACAGTATCATACAAATGAGGGAAAGACAAGAATATAAGGAATTTTGGTGGGTTAGACTAACAGAGTGGGACTAGGTTCCCTTTTATTCTCCTTTTTAATTTGTTGTCATTGCTGTTCTGATGCTTTTCACTTAACACACATCCTTTCCTATGATGATTGTTAGACAGAGCATCTGCATGTGAAGCAAGCTGCTCAATAAAAACAGGTTCAAAAAGTAAGAGACTTTTAACACAGACAGGAGGAAGGAAGAAATATATTTCTGCAGGTTGGTAAAATCCTTGAATTTATGATATAACAGTTCTTCTGAAAATAAATGTTGTACCTGTGAGGATACTTTTGGACGAGAAGTAGGACATGAGGAAGGAGAGAACCTGCTCATCGTTCCACCTGTGCTCCCCGTTCTCCCTCACTGTATGGCAGGCTGGACACATTTCTGGTGAAGGCCACTGGATCTTTGGGAAGCTGGGGTCTTCACTCAGAGCACCTGCAGAGGTTAATGCAGAAGTAGAGTCCTGATCACTTTATTACTGGGGGAACATCAGGCACACAGCAATACAGGGAGAAAAGGATAAATTGTGACCATAAAAGAGTAGCTAACCCTAACCCTGAAAATCCTGCATTTTGGAGGCCACAGAATTAAACCTAATGACATTAGTGCATTTTTCTTTAAATCTGCTTTTTGAATAATGTAGAAATGTAGAAATGTAGAGTGAACAGCTTTGTAGAGTGAAAAAGCAACTACCTAAATACAATTATACAGTGTCATTACTTACTGACACTACTCCTTTGAGGAAGATGTTTCTTCCACTTTCTACTCCACTATATTTATTGACAGATAAAGTCACTGAGTTACTTTGCAGAATGTTAATCATATGATTAACTCAGATAATATGCATTGCTATACAGTAAACTGCCTAAAGGCACTGTATACTGTATAAATAGTAGTACTATATACAGCCAGTTGTGGCGAGTCACTCACTACAACATTAAAATGCTGCTTACAGGTAATATCTGAATATAAATAAATAGCCTTTTACCTGTAAGCAATTTATAAAGTACTTCTACTTGTGATACTTTAGTACATCAGTTGCTGATACTCTTTTAAAGAAATTTTTTTTAACGAACGTGGCCTATTTCTTTCACCACAACAGCTTTGTCAAAGTCTTTCTCACCGTAATAAACTAATAAGTACCTCACCTAACTTATAGTAGATAAACAAGGTCAGTAGCATGATCCAGATTAATTGCCCCATACAGGAATCACACAACATAAAGCACCCAGTCAGCTGCTTCATCCATTGTTGTTTCTTTTATTCTCCTTGTTGGTGCATTGACTTGAGAATGTAAGTGCTTTGAGGACTGGATGCAATCTGTGTTGAACCCATTTGATCTTGTCACAGTGCTCGTAAAAACTAAGTGCCTATATGCATATGTGTATGTATGTGTTTAAGTGTGTATATGTAAATCATCTGTCTGTGTTTGTGTGCATGTAATCTAGGGATTGATATTTGTGTGTGTGTGTCTCTCTCTGTGTGTGTGTGTGTGTGTGTGTGTGTGTGTGTGTGTGTGTGTGTATGACAGGGTCTAACAATGATCAATGGGCTTCTGGGATGTCCCAGTGGGAGGGGTGGTGAGATAATAGATGTGGCCAAAGTGGACAGCTTCCCCACACTTACACACTTACACACTTAGACACACACACACACACACACACACACACACACACACACACACACACACACACACACACACACACACACACACACACACACACACACACACACACACTCCCTGTTTTTAGGCAGCAGACCTCTGTGCTCTGGAGCACCTGTCTTGTCCCTTCACACCCCCTTTGAAAGCAAAGTCCAATCTTCAAATTGAACATGAGAGCACCAGAGACCTCAGAGGGGAGCTGCCCCTCTAATGAATTAGAAACTTTCTCCTTTAACGTGTTTTCTTTTGTGTAGCCGCTGCCCACTAACGCCCCTCATATCAGACACTCACACACACTCACACACACACACACACACACACACACACACACACACACACACACACACACACACACACACACACACACACACACACACACACACACACACACACACACACACACACACACACACACACACACACACACCACTGAATCCATGCAAACAGACTGGCAGACAAATGGACATATACACACAGAAATACACAGACGCATATACAACAGACACGCTCTGCACAAATGCCCACAAGCACACTCACACAGGACATCATCTAGTAATAAATTGCTTGTTGTCACCAACAGGCCATTGTGTGTGAGTGCGTGTGTGAGTGCGAGTGTGTGTGAAAAGAGGGGAAAAGCAGCAGCAGGTCTGTCACTTTACAGCACTGTCAATTTACATCCTCCACCACCTCCGTCCCCACTCCCTCCTCCTCCTCCTCCTCCTCTCCGTGCTCAAGATTAATCTCAGTCATATGCATGTGTGTATGTACTCTGCATACAGTACTTTACATAAAGGATACATCAATTTTACTGTGTCCTGGGATGGGCTGCAGCCTGTGGGTGTGTGTGGGGGCTTTTATACATTTCAGCAGGTGAGTGCACACACACACACACACACACACACACACACACACACACACACACACACACACACACACACACACACACACACACACACACACACACACACACACACACACACACACACACACACACGATGCCTCAGATCTCTTTCCTTATTCTAATCAGCTTGCCATGTTTGCGGCCAGGGTGACTTTAGCCATACCAGCCATATTGAGATTGCCACAATGGCCTGTCACAGAGATGTCATCGCCACCGCACATACATATTCATCAGGTATAAATATGTATTGTTCAGCGCGTCAAACTAGCTTCCTCAGCACTAATTCTGTAAGTGAGGATCACCTACACCGCATGGCATACTGAGCCATCATGGCTGCTGGGGAGTGCGGATGATGTCAGACATTTTAGGCTCATTTAAATAATCGAGACAAAACCTAAACCAGGACTTTAGCTGGGTATTAAAGCTAAATACTTTTACTGATGCTGACTCAAATGTGTCTGGAGCACACATTTCCATGTAATCGAAACCTGTCAAATACAGCAAACTGGCTTTAGTTTACTTTAGCTTATTCAACGTTACAACGTAACGTAACACAATAAATACCTACTATACATAATGATCAATAAAAATTATACATGTACACTGATGTATGTATGTCATGTACAGGAAGCAAAATGTGTGGCTAACAGCAAAAGTAACACTGCTGCTGGAACGAGGAGAGTACTGATGTGAGGCCTTAACAACCAGATTAGACAATCTATTAAATACTAATTGGTCAGTTGTTTTCATAATACATTTAAATTATCTTTTAAAAGTGAAAAAAAGAGGTTCCTTATTTCTGTTTTTTCTTCAAGAAAATCATTATCATAAAAACACTTGCGATATCTGCGATACTCTGCGATATCATGATAATATTATCAGCACTGTTAATGAAGAAATGCCCAAACCCTGTGAGCAGTGCTACATGCATGCAACCAGGCTGCTGCAGCAGCTGTTTTGTCTGTAGAAATGTGAATCAGTCTCAGCCTGTTGACAAGCAGCAACAGGACTGAGCTGCCACCAGTCTTAATTCTGCTACTGCAAGGAGGCCGAGGGCCCTGGGGCCTCTTTGTTGCCAGCTAAATTAATTGTTCGGCCGCTTTACAAATAGCTGCTCTTTCATGCATGGCTGCTCCTGAAAGGAGGGGCGGGGAGGCCTTGCTAAAGAGCTCCACTTTAGGCAAAGGGGAGAGGAGGGGTTGAGTGGATGGAGGGATGGAGTGTGCTCTCCTCAGGGAGACGCTGCCGCTCATTGCTACAAACACAGCCAAACCCTCCACTCCTCCCTCTCTCTACTTCTGATTCACCCGACTTATCCCCTGTGGACCCCGACTCACCCTCCGCCACGGCTAACTCCCCCTGCCACACGCCACAACTTGACCCATGCTTGGAAGGGCTGTGTGTGTGTGTGAGTGCGTTAGGGAGGGGGAGAAAAAGAGGGGGTGAGCGTGTGTGGCTTGTGTCATGGTGTTTGCCACCTGCTGTCGCACAATACCTTGGGAATTGTGTGTGTTTGGGTGTGTGTGTGTGGGGGCAAAGAGGGCTGGTTCCTGGGGGATCCATCCTGCGAGGATGCTGTGCTATTACTTGTCAAGCGCAGGATATGAGTCCCCGGGGATGGTGAGTGGAAGGAGAGAAAGACTGCTAGAGGAATAGAGGAAGAGAGGGAAGATGGATGGATGGAGGTGGCGGGTTGAATAGTGTTTAAGCGTCTGGGGAGCAGACACACGCAGGGACGGGTGTCCTTCTGGCCCCTGCTGTTCGGGACACAAGCTGTCCCTGGGATAGAAGAGGGGGCAGTCAACACAAACAAAAGCTAGTGATTTAACAAAGTGGGCTGTTAATGACAGCCCCATGCCTAATAAAATCATATGAACACAGACAAGGGAGGAGGGACTCTTAGGAGCTGTTTAATACTCTTGAGACTGATGTGCAGAAGTGTAATATGCTGACGCAGCACGGTCAAAAAAGAGATAAGAGTTTGTGCAGTTATAAACAGAGAAAGAAAAGACTGAAACATTGCAATGGAGGATTACAGGAGAAACTAAAAAGCACATTCTGAAGATTGTCATTTGTGTGGATGGACTACTAAACATTAATAATTGGGTAACTATGCAGAGTTGAAATGGATGACCTGAATAGAAATTCCTTGCAATACAAATGGAGTTTGGGGTAAAGGCCTATGAGGTGCAAGATATGAACAAAAAGTGGTTGATGACTGGTGAGGCAATAGTGGAGGGGGGGCTTGTGGGAGAGACTCAAAGTAAGGGTGTGAGAAGGATGGAAGATGTCAGAGGGGGGTCAGGAGAAAATGGGTGAGGCAGAAGCAGATGATACTTGGAGGACTAAGACGGGGTGACAGCTGGTGTCTGATCTGAGGATCCATCCTTCCTCCTCCCCTCACCCTCTCAGTCGTATTACAAAGACTAACTGACCATTAGAGGAAACTGAAAATCTTCCCCATACCTTACATTGAGATCCTAAGGAGTATATGGCTAGACAGGGAAAAGACAAGTGTGGAAAGAGGTAAGGATGTAATGGAAAAAGTGAGAGGGACAGGGATGGCTTAGCACACTAGTGTGTAACATGGATTTACAATCAGCTTCACAATGTTGATTTTCATCATATACTGTATCTCCTGTTATAGTGTCCAGTCTAGAAAATAAACATCCGCTCAACCTTTGCATTAGGGCTACAGCTATTATTTTGTATTGTTATCTTCTCGGTTATAATCAATTTAGTTGTTTTGTCTAATACATTTTAAAGAATAGTGAAAAATGTTCATTATAATTTCCCAGGAACCAACTCAATAGATATTACATTTTCAAAGATATAAAATACAGAAAACCAGCAAATCCTCATATTTAAGAAGCTGAAACCACTTTGGTGTTTTTGCTTGAATGATTGAAATTATTAATTGATTATCAAAATAGTTCCAGATTAATTTTCTGTTTATCGTTCCAGCTCTACTTCTCATCTATCTATACTACACACTAATTTCAAAACATACAGAAAATTGGAACTGTAAGTCTGCTGAATTGGTTATCTGGGTTTTACAATACATTCAACTTGATTAGTTAACATTTGAATGCATGTTTGTTGTTATTATCATTCTATCATGTGTTATCCTTTATTAGGGCCAAGGGTTTGTGGGAAATGCTTTCTGCACTTTAAAGACACAGTGAAATTAAAGAGTTCTAATCCAGTGTTGAGTAGTAGTTTTCTTTTGGTATGTGCAAAGAAAAGAGATTTGAGGTTATGTGAAATTTCCTCTTTCCTTTTCACAATGAAATATTTTTGTTGACTTGAATTCTTGAACTCTGGAGTGTATACATAAATATACATAATCAAATGTGATTTGGGGCATCAAACTAACCTGGCACATCATGTAAAGCCACTACGCTGTTGTGTATGAGCTTGTGGGTCATAATAGCTATCAGCGTGATATTATGGGTCACAGGTGTGTTTTTGAACGACACTCCGCATAAACTTTAAATTTCAAGAGAATCTGGTTGTTCTTTAACTTTTCCTCTATTTGACTCTTTCTGACCCAACAACACGGGTCAGGGAGGTGTGGATTCAGGCTGACAGCTCTGTATTGCTTCATATTCAATAAACCACCCCCACTTTGGAACGATCCAGTAACATCTGAATGATTTTATTTACCCTGCTCACACAGTTCTTTTCATTCAGAAATAAGTGACACTATGGAAGCTAACGTGCTATAACAGCTGCTGTACTGTAATTTTAAGAACACGTACCACAGCTGTAATTGAAATAACAGAAGCGAGAATCACCTTTTAGTTTGCACCAAAGAAATTCTGCAAACTACCCACACATGATCGTGCAGACTCCTACCTGCCAGTCTGTTGTTGACCCGATTGTGTCTGGACCAAAGCCACAGGACCGCTGACGACAACGAGCTCACCTCCACCAGACTCTCCCTTGCCATGTTCTCAAAGTGCTCAGCACACGGTCTGCAGCCAAAGAAGTTGTGGACATAGTTTCTCATCGCAGTCAGCACTTCCTTGGGATCTGGAGGGGAATGACATGAGGTCAGTTAATGCTCACAATTAAAACAATATCACAAACTCCATCCTAAGATCACTTCGAACACCAACTTTGACCTCCTCTCAACAATGAGTCTTTACCTCCTATGTAAAGCACAATCACCAGGCCTTGAAAAGCTGGTTGTCTTCATACATTAAAATGTACCCTAGCCTGAAAGCTTGCTAATGGCAGTGAGGGTCCACAGCTTCCTGGATTCCCACGGTAATGTGGGCCAGGAGTCACAGAGAGCTGGGTTAACCCCATATTGAGATGAATAATCTATGGGAATGGGATAACCCAATCTGGAGATTAAATACAGTTAACCCTCTGTGTGAATGGTGACCAGGCTGTTGTCTCAGGACTTCAACAGTCCACAAACATATTTTCCTGGAATATTTGCTTTTGTTCTGGGCTTAGTAGGACCTTCATATAAACCGTACTGACAGTGGGAGTGTGTCTGGGAGTGTGTGCGCGCTCTTTATCAAAGCGAGGATGGGCTTATGTTAGGCCTTTACTAATGTGTTCACACCTTCAATAATCCATGCAGCATGTGTATATGAATGAATAGAGGTTCATGTTATGGTCAATGTTTGTGTATCCATCCATTAAACTGGTGGTCTGTTGGGGGCCAGATGGACACCCCTTTTGGCCAGTCCATCTGCAGGTCACATGATGGTCCGTAAACCTCAGGATTAACCTGTGTGTGTCTGTGTGTGTCTGTGTGTGTCTGTCTGTGTGTGTGTTGAAGAGAGATTAACGTCCCTGCCAAGAGTGGAGCCTCCGGTCATCTGCCTGTTTTATTAACCACTCACATTCCGCTAATCTAACATAATCCCTTTTCACACAGTCACAATTAGGCTCAATTTTAGTTGTGACAAAATGACAAAACATAGGGCAAAAAACCTCAAAGACTTCTGGTCAAAACTTCCTAATGATATATGTTGTTTTTTTTGTGTTTCTGTGTGTGTGTGTGTGTTCAGTCTTTTCTCTGTGTGATGTTAAATCAGGTCAGTGTGAAAAAAAAAAGAAGCAATCCACCAAACATTCCTGGGCTAATTTGTTTACAAAGCCTCACAAAGCCCTCATCCTCAATCCACCCCTGTCTTTGTGTACTTTCAATGGCTCTTTTCATTCACAGCAAGACAAACTCAGTCTCTCTCTCTCTCTCTCTCTCTCTCTCTCCACACAGTGTGTGTGTGTGTGTGTGTGTGTGTGTGTGTGTGTGTGTGTGTGTGTGTGTGTGTGTGTGTGTGTGTGTGTGTACATGTACATGTACCTGTGCCTCCAGCGTTCTTGGCCTGGACAGTGAGAACATGGAAGAGGGTCCACACCCCACAAGGGTAACGTCTTAGGTAGGGTTTTGAACCCTGACAGCCCACCCACCTCTGTCCTTCGGGCAAAGCAGTGTCTGGAGACTGAGAGAGAGGAAGAAAAACAAACAGACAAACTTCAGTTACAGACAAATGGGAAAAAGGAAACAAAGAAAAAAGCTTAAAGGATAAAACCTGGTGATATTCTATATTTTTCTTATAGTCAACAAATCCTATGAAAAGACCAAAACAAAGTCTGTGTAACCAAAGCCTGATATAGCCCGATATTGTGTTATTGGTCTCCATTACTGACCAAAAACTACTGTTTTAATTCACTTCACTCATTTTACTTCTCTTCTTCTTGCTGACATAAATAACTCTCTAGAAAAGTGGTTGTTCATAACACAAATGTGTTTTAAATTTAAATTTAAATAGATTTTAAGATGGATTTTATTTACCCCTATTAACAATATAAAATGGATATTTGTTGTTTTTGTTGGATATTTGGTTTGGTCATGTTTTCATTCATACTACCTGTGGCAGAACCTGGACATTTCAACCATTCATCCATTTAGCTTATTATTACAACTTACTTTTAGCTAACTGTATGGTTGTCTGCCAAATAATTTTCACATACTCTCATACATGGTGTTCAGGTGTTATAGCCGTCTCAATATGTGGATATATATATAGAATTGAATTGAATCAAATAATTTCCATTTTATTCAAATTAGTTAAGCTACCCACCATTTTTACATGTACCCCCTGGCAATTACAGAAGTACCCCCTGGGGTACAAGAAGCCCTGGGTGGGAATCACTGCAAACCATATGTGCTTGACAATAGTCAAAAAATAAATGCATTATTTAATCATGTTTGAATGATGTTTGCAGAAACACTACAATGCCCAAACAAAGTGAAAATATATTTATTCATGACCCATTTTAGGGGTCTAAGTACCACAGACTGAGGGCAGTACAAAATAATGCATTGATGGTTTTGGTCTTTCCATGGGATTTGTTGACAAAAAGAAAAATGTAGAAGTATAAGTAAGATGTATCTATCAAGTGCTTTTCAAAACATCAGTTCCAAAGTGCTTCACAGTTAATAAAAAGCACTAAAGCATGAAAACAGCAAGTAAAATACAATTTAGAAAAGGAAATTCACTATAACAAACAAAACAATGCATGATAGTAGACAAAGATATATAGTAGTACACAGAACAACAGAAGCTGTATCCTTTAAATGAGACTAACAGTCTCAAAAAAGTAGAGTCTCTCCAATTTCTCCAACCTGTTCAACCCAATGAAAGCTGCTCTACGTAGTTTTCTTGATCAATAAGAAGTCAATCTCAGGTTAATGGCTCAGCCCTCCACTAATGAACAGAAGCTATCCAGATCTCTAACCACGAGCCACAGTTAAATCCAATAACATATTTTCTCTGACATAAAGTCGTTTCTCTCGTGGTACTGCATTGCCATTGCTGGCGTGATTGACAGGGTTACTCACATGTCAATAGTAGTGATTTTGTGTGTGTGTGTGTGTGTGTGTGTACACAGTCCATTTCCTCTGAGGCGAAGTCTATTCATACCTTCCTATTGATTCATTGATCCATTGATTTGCCTGCTAAAAGCTAATGATGTAAGTAAGTGACTCTTTCAATTTGCGAGGGGCGGTATACTGGAGGCATGCAGGCTTCATTCCAAAGACAACAGCACATAGATCCTCAGCTGTATGTGCTGGCACTGAGACAAGAACAAAGTACATATTGAAATATCCGGATATATATATAAAATATCTTTTTCATCTACTCATACCGTGTGCTTTTATTTAGATTTTCAAGATCACATTTTGACAGTTCTTTGACAGAATAGGCATCACTTTGGCACCTCTGGGGTGGTTTTGAACTGATTAAGTGACCATACTGACAAGTGACCTTGGTATCTTAGTGGAACGACGAGGCTACTCCCAGACAGACGTCCTCACATCAGTCTGGGTGCATTTTGTGATGCCCTGCCCTCTGTTCTCCCTGCAGCTGCTTATCTGTCTGGTCTCCCTCTCATTTCCCTTTCTTTGCTTTTAGATGCCTGCCTGCTCAGACTCACAAAAGTCTGTTCTTTTTCTCAATTTGCATTCATGTACTTCATCAGTGCAGTATGTAATGGACAGACCACTTCTGAATCCAATGAATACCAAAGATAGAAGACAGGCAAAAAAGTTAACTAAAAATAATTTAAATGTTGGCTTGACCGACAAGAAGAACGAAAAGAAGCCCCAAGTTAATTGATGCACAAGGTCAGAACTTATTGGATATTGGTCCGTGCGGCTTTGTCTTGACTCACCTGTGCCGGGTTATCCAGCATCTCTCTGAGTTCCTCATAGGAGATCTCATCACCAGTCTGGTTCTGAAGATGAGAGTTTACAGACCTCAAAAGGTTCATCACCACTGGACGGCCTGGAAAGTACTGCAAAGCAAAACAGAAATATGTGTTAAAGACCCCCTTCAGACATATATAACACATATTTTGCTTAGAACAAAAAGAGACAGCATTGCACCAGTACTTGCATCCCTGCAATGGCTACCTGTCAAATACAGGATGGATTTTAAGGTTCTTTTATTTGTTTTTAAAGCCATAAACACGCAGGCACCCCTGTAAATCTCAAAGCTTCTCTGCAGCTCCAGGCCTCTCAGATCCTCTAAGCAGCTGTTTTTAACTGTTCCACGTTCCTCTTCCACTCCTACTTCACTGTACATCACATTTAAGTTGCATACTGGACCAGGAATGACCTCCAAATAATTTGTTATGTCAGCACCCGCCCCTTAAAATCATATTTTCAATGAGCACATAGAAACTTTCCACTTTCAGCAGATGAATGTGAAAACATCCTTTTAGTGTCAAAAATATACATCATTTTGCACAGTGAAGCTTGAACATCCAACTGCAGGAACAAAAACACATTTTTGAGTGGAGAGAAGTCCATCATATTTCCCAAGGAATCAAAGTGATTCAGTCAGTCTACAGACTGCTTGTTTTATTCGACCATTCAATTTACCATCATAGAAGACTAGAAAAAACAGCACGTATTTACATTAGAGAAGAAATCTGTCAACTCATAAATTTGATTAGTCAACTAATTGTTTTAGCTCTAAGTGCAAGTACAGTTTATTGAGAAGGAACCAAAAAATCCTTCAGAATAATTAATTCACGAATGAATCTTCACTGATAAAGTATAGTTTATAGAATATAACAAGTTAGTCTTACAGCTTTGGCATAAGTTGTATGTTTTATTCGTCACATGGAAATTCAAATGAACAATTTCCATTACATAATAGCTTTAAAATATAGATTGTGCCAATGTCTTTATTTATATATCTTCCATCTATAAAAGCTTTATGACCATGTTGTTTTTCCACTCCACACTCTTTTGCCTGAAACAAACTGTTCAAATCAACATCTTCACCATTTTTGTTCTACAAATACAGACAATGTACTATGAGGAAATGTAATGCCTAGATGATCAGTGGCTAACTCATCCTTATAGCCTCATCAATGTTGTGCACAAAATCTACATGCTGCACAAAAGTTGCAGTTTGAGTGTTTTTCCTTCCTTCTCAGCACCTTTAAAGAAACTAAATGTGCCAGCAGCCGATCTTAAGCCTCTGCCTTCATTAAGATCCATTTCCTAAGCCACTAACAACCACTTAGCCACTGTCTACTCAGTGCATTCTCCTGCTGTGTGTTTACATCTTTTTAAACTACCATGGTAACAACCAAAACTGAGAGGAAACATGATACTGTAACTAGCACAGGTAGATATGTGAAGAGAAAGAGGAAATCCGACTGATGGGTGTCTGAGACCAGTGATGACAGAGCGAAGACAGACACAGACAAACGTGTCTTCACACATACAATACTGACAATAGAAACAGCTGATTTCTTGAATGTTCAGACAGTAAAAGAGAGGAAAGCGCTTAAATAAATTTCAGCTAAATGTGCTTCCTATTCTTACTGTAAGCCTCTCTGTGGAACAGTTTGTGATAATAGTCCTGTTTCCCAGAAAGAGACGCAGCAAAGGATCAAATTTTTTCCAAGACTTAAACAACAGACAAATAGACTACCTCCATGGTAACTTTCGTTTAGGGCTGCAACTACAGTAATTGTTATTATTTTCATTATTGATTGATCGGTTGATTATTTATTTCACGTATGACAAATAATAATTGTTGCTTTTTGTGGTTATACACATTTTTGAGTCTTTTTTATTTATAATAGAATGAGGTAAAAACGTCACTTTTTCAACTTTTGAATCATAGTTACTGTCAATGTGCACAGGGACTTAATAGCTCTACAAAGTTATATTGAATGTGAGAGAGAACGAACAGAAGAAAAACAGAGAACGCAGAAGACAGAGCGAGCTAGAGTCATCCAACATGCAGACCTGTGATTTGCACTGCTGGTTCTTTTTAATTTGGCCTCCACCATTTGTTCAACTAAATACACCTGCACACACACAAGCCTTTCAGTACATGGCTCAGCCGTCTATTCATCACCCTCTAACAGGATCTGTGTGTTACACCCTGACCACTTAACCAGACCCCCAGTGATTTCCTTAAACCTCCTTGTCCAAGGCTAACAGAGTCCTGCTCTATGCCGTGTCCTTCCCTCTGCACCAGAGCACTCCTCATGCAGTACCTTTCACCTTTCATCAGCTTGGCATACAGAATGAAGCTGTGTGTAAAAAGCTGAATTTCAAAATATTGGTTAGTACTGGGCCATTAAAGTTGTTGCATGCCTGTTATGATTTTACTTTTTGTGTGTGATGAGCCTACACACACACACACACACACACACACACACACACACACACACACACACACACACACACACACACACACACACACACACACACACACACACACACACACACACACACACACACACACACACTAAAGGAGGGCTGTAAAGAGCAGACAAAGGCCTCTGATGTGTGCTGCTCACTGCTGGGAAAGTGATATAATAGGTTTAGGGATGCCAACCAGTCAGAAAAGCTCATTAAACAGCCATATGAATTTAACCAGAAGAGAAAACGCAGGTGTTTCCCACTAATGGGCTTAACTCAGCATCACCAAAGCAACACTATTCATGAGCACTATGGGTCTGGTGATCACCTAAAAAGTCAAATGGTCACCATGTTCAACTTTTGTACAAAGAATATTTATTAGTCAGAGTCATCACCATTTGTCTTATTTTATATTGATTTCTCTTTTTCTCAGACTCCCTGGCCTTGATCATTGATGGTGCACAATGTCAATCAATATGCCAATTATATTTCACAGATATGTTGATGAATTGTGTGCCAAAACAGTGACAGGTACTGAAGGAATGACGGACCAAGTGATTCTTCTCAGACAACAGTGGGACAGTTTTAATTTCATGGGATAAATTTAACAGAATTTAACCAAAAATGCAACAGTAAATAAGCTTAAAAAGGTTGTACCAAAATCAACACTACCCTTTTTCTAAATTTAACATGTACTTAAAGCATCTCATTCATAAATACTCACTCTTGGAAACAATGTAAGAGTTTAGTAGTTGATTATGACGTGTTTTAGAAGATGCATCAACAACAAGCTCAAGAACAACAAATTAAACCCTATTAGAAACTAGTAATTTTACGACTGAAACAGCACTGTGAGTACATTGATCAACAACTGCATTCATTCATATTTTGTTCAAACTATAAACATTCTAAATTTTAATCATCTCCACAAGATATCTGCCTTTACATTTGTTCTCTCCGTCTTGAGAAAAGACACACAAACACACATCCCCTCCTCTAACCCTGTATCCCTCCTGCCCCCATCCCAGTTGGACCATGACAATCCCCTTCACCCCGGCAATATGTCATCCCTGATCCGATTAGTATCAGCAGCACTTGAGAAACCGCAAGCTCCTTGTGGTGAGGGTCCCGAGAGGGAGGCATCTGTTGGCTGCAACAGGGCGGACCAGACCAGGCCTGGTTTAGAAGACAGGGGTGAAGCCCCTTGATAATAATCTAACTTCAATCCACCCGGGGGAAGCGTGGGAGGGGTGCTGCACACACGTGCCAGAGTGGAAATCGGGCAAACAGCAGCCTCATCTTTACACACACACACACACACACACACACACACACACACACACACACACACACACACACACACACACACACACACCACCCCTTTTAGGCACACACACACCAATTCTTTGGCAATATAAGCGTATGTGAACATTATGTCCTGGGCTCTGGGAAGAAGGGAGAACCCTGTGTCCCTTTAGACAAAAGCCCCCTCTTAATTCTTTGTTTTATACCCCCTCTGTCCCCTCTGGGCTGAAGGGCTTCTTTCAAGAAAAGCAGGATAGAGGTGTAATCCTTAAAAACCTCGCTGTAATGCTCTCATGCTTCCCAAGATCCACTTTTTTAATCCTCATATACATGTAGAGGATTCATAAATCCGGCTTCAGCCTGACAAGACAGTAAATCTAGTAACATTATGACCGGGTGCACAAAATAAATAAATCAATTTAAAAAAAAAAAACAACTCCCATGTTTACATGTTTGCATGAGGCGATGCAATGATGGGATGATTGTGGATAGAAAAGAAACAAACAATTCATGGAATTACAATTCTTGGACAGAAGAGAGATTTACATGAAAGTAATATATGAAGGAGACAAATACATATTCATTCACAGAGAGACTTTGCCTCTCCTTAAGATGTACACAACGATTAGTCGATTGACAGAATAGTTATTGGCAACAATTTTAATATTTAAGTGTTGGTCAAGCAAAAATACCAAACATGGATTGTTCCAGCTTCTCAAAAGTAAGTTTTTCTCTTGTCTTCCATCATAGTTAACTGAATATCTTTGGGTTTTTTCGACTGTTAATCAGCCAAAAAAGCTATCTTAAGATGTCTAGTTGGATTCCAGGAAATTGTGATGGGCATTTTTCACATTTCATAGGCGAAATGATTAATCAGTTAATCAAACAAATTGACTGAGCTAACGTTCGAAAATAGTAATTAGTTGCAGCCCCAACACACATATATAATAGTGAGCCTGTTATCATCCATGCAAATACACGCCCTTGTGTATGCAAATACACTTTCCACTAATCATTCTGTTTGGAAAAAAATTAAAAAGTGCGTCATGATTGAGGAAATGTGTCACCACTGTGAAGTGATGACACTGTGGTCAGGACACCGTGAGTCACTTTCACTCTAATCTAATCACATGACTCAACGGGGAGTTCAGGTGTCAGATTTTTACATATTGCGTCAGTAATCAGGAAGACTGAATGGTTTAACAATGAGGCAATTTCTTTATCAATCAACAGTCATTTGAATATAGATGAAATACAACATCAGTGGAAAAGAAGTCAAGGATTCTTCTAACCTAAAAAAAATGTACTCATTAAATATGTTTGCTTCTCAAAGTACTCCAACTGGCTAAGAAGCAAGAAGTGTCATCCACTCTCCCATCATACCAAGTCTCCTTCAATTCTAGTTTCACAATCTAAATCAAACATTAACTGTTGCTTACAAGCTGACTAACTGAAAGGATTCAGCCTCTTTGTAGAGAGATCGCTCAGTCAAACGACAATAAGGACTGTCACAAGTCGCAGTCAGCTGCAACAATGACGGCCTCCTCAGCTACACAAAGCCCTGCTGAGCGGCTGGTCCATTCTGGTAGGGGGACAGGCTAAAATACCACTGGGACCTGCCGCTATTGACTAAACAAACTGGAGCTAATGGGAGGCCTCAATACCCCCCCACACACACACGCGATACACACTTGCCTGCTACAACGCCTCCCTAGAGAGTGAGATATAATCAGAGAGATTGGTGGCAGACTGGGGCAGTGAGACAGCCTGGTGCGTAGCCAATAGGGACGGGGCTAGCAGGTCAGGCCTCATCATCACAACATGTTTGCTTGGCTGGCACACTTCAGAGAGGAAGGAGAAAAAGAGGGAACGAGGGAGCATGTGAGAAAGTAACAGATAAGGGTGGAAGAAAGCGGTTAAATTGTGTATTAGATGTAAATAAAAGCTGATGAGTCAAAGTAACGTGACCAAATATATAAAAAGAAATGTTAATCCTTTAAAGTGAAATAGGGAAGATGGTAGAAAATAAATGGAAAAGCAAGAGAGGAAGAGAAGGACAGTTTTACATAAATACAAAATGAGAGGGGTGTTGGGTTGTTTTGGCTAACTGCATCGGACTGGCACATTTACAAGTATTTGCAGAGAAACCAGGGTGAAACTAAAAGTATGAATGCTGCATGGGGAGAAAGGAGAGGAGGAATAGTGGTTGGAGTCTCCCTGGGAGGTTTGCTAGGAAACCCTGTGAGCGGCGAGTGGTTGGCAGCCACGCTTCAATCCCCCTGAGAGCCAACATCAAGAGGGTCAACAATACCCAAGAGAGCATTTGTGCTTTCTTTCTTGTCAATGGCATCCACTTCTGCTTTCAATAATGTGTGTAAGTGTGTGTGGTGAAAAACAAAAGTGCATTTGACAAAACAATAAATTAAGTACAATTGCAAAAAATTATTTATTGGATTCTAAAGGAATAAAAATAAACATGTTATGAAGATATTTAGCTAAATGCTCCAAAACAACAGCACAAATCTACAGTGTGAACAAACATTCTGCTGTCTCACTCTCCATCTAGTGGTGACCTGCTGTTACTACACATTTCTGTTGACTTCATTATACTCTTGGAGCTTAAAATATGGAAGAGGGATGCTCTTTAAGGTTCATAATTTTTGTTTTCAGACCGATTTCCACTGAGAGACAAACAGATTTTTCTTATAGAAACAAATCAATTCAAACAGTGTAAGAGTAAGAGTAAGAGCTGCTTATTATGTTTAGTCCTTCTAAACAATGAATTAACTGCAACATGCTTGCATGGCAAGTGTTATTTTTATATCACATATTTTACCTGGATTTGTGTTACTGAATTTGTTATCCAATTTCCACATGGAAATAATGAGCCCTAATCAATGTATATAATTTGGTTTACATGTTTTGTGTGTACTGTACACATGTATGCAGTGCTCTCTCGGGTATCTGTACCTTCGCCAGGACAGAGATGTACTTCTTGAAAGAAATCAGCGCATCTCCTTTGATCACAGTATGAGCAGCCAGCTCCACACGCAGAGAGTAGTGCAGCGTTGACTCCAGGTCTGCCATGTACAGCCTGGACCTGCGGGCACACAACCACACGCAAACATCACGTGACAACAAATAATCAGAATGAGCAGAGAAGGACAGTCTTGTGCAGTATGTGTTGTTCATACTTGTTGAAGGGTCTCCAGGGCTCCTCTGTGTTGTTGGTGTGGATGTTTATGGAGTCCGGTGGAGGCTTCCCTGACCGCACCACCCCCGGCAGCCTCTGGAGGGCGTAAGAGAAGAAAGTACGAGCCTCAACGTTGCTGAGGGAGAGAAGGACAGGTGAGACAGACCCTTGGGTCACTCAACATAAACTATATGCACGGAAGCATGTGGACACCCCAAAATCTTGTATAAAGCCTTCATAGAAGAGTGGATGCTGTTATAGCAGAACATTAAAGCGCATCATTTTAAAATGAGATGTTCAACAATCATACGTTGGTGTAAAGTTTGGCTGTCCACACACTTTTGGCCACATAATACATCTAGCCCAGTTTGTTAGTCTCTAATCCTGCAAGGAACCTCGTTTTTTTAATTTCAGCCTTATTGTTTCAGCAGTCCATTGCCATAAAAAATGTTTTATGACCTGTATTTTTTGTGGCCATATATTTTACACACTTACGGGAACGCATTTCAAATACTGAGCAGATGGTGCCAGAGTAGTGTGGAACTGAGAGAGAGATCGCCGATATGTGATAACCCTGCAACCGGAACCACGGCCATTAATGTACTCTCTCTCTCTTTCTCTCTCTCCTTCCACCCTTCCCATCCTCCTCTCATTTGCTTTCCCCCCTTGTCAGGGACAGAGAGAGAGGGAGAGCAAGAGAAAGAGAGAGAGAGCATCGTAAAACTGGAACAGGATGGTAATAAGGAGGATGGATACTCTGGGCCCCCGCTCACTCACACCAGCCCGGGACTCAATTACACCTGCGTGTCTGGTGGGAGTGTACAGATGTGGAGGGAGAGCCATTCATCCAGCGATCCCCAGGGCCGCCGGGCAGGCAGGCAGGCATCAGGGTGGGCTGGGAGGGAATGCATTCACCTGGGACCAGCACACATTACATGCATGACGGATGTGAGACGCCCACGCACGTGCTCTCTCTCTCTCTCTCTCTCACACACACACACACACACACACACACACACACAAACAGGCACACACAAACAGGCACACTCTGCTCTCCCAGGATCAATCAGACATTCAGTGATGATGGGAGGCCATCTGTCGCCGTGTGCGGCTGGGGCTTGTTTGGCAGGTGAAGCCAGAAAAGCAATGGCATTGTTTTCATGCAAGAAATTAAAAAACCTCCCCTCTGTACAGTGATGGAGATGAGGGGGTTGGAAGGGGGAGAGATGGAGGTGAATAAATAAATCAGCAATAAATCATTTCCTTTTTGCATTTGTCAACTAAAAAGAGTCCTCTTTGCATGCCAAGTTATTGAAACAGCCAAACAAAGAGGCAGAAACAGCAGATGAATTTGCAGGGTGAGGAATGATCAGCGCTGCTTTATGATAGTGAATAATGGGAGCGATTTTGATGCTCTGATCCCATTAAGAGGCCAGATGTTTAAAAGTATTCTCATGAATAGGGTTCAGATAATGAGCATGTGATGAAGGCAGCAAGCAAACTTGTCGTGTGTGGAACAATAGGAACCAAAGGGAAATAAACTTGGTGTTTGTGAATTTCAGGTCAGGCTAAATGGAAATTACTGTAAAAAGTTTGAGATGCTATTGAGATAAATACAAAAAAAAAGCTCATGTTCGCTTCACACCTTCCAAACACATCCACCCACTCAATCACTGTTGCCTCCTGCATGTCTCTATCTCTATTCTGAATGTTCCCAATAACAATGGAGAAATATTATTTCTTAAAAAGATCCAGTGTGTAGGATTTAGTGGCATCTAGCAGTGAAGTTGCAGCTCCCACCTCCATCGTTTCACCCTCCCCTTCCAAGTGTAAATGAGAACGTGAACGGCCCTATCTATAGCCAGCGTTTGTATTGTCCCTTCTAGGCAACTGTAGAAACATGGCTGTTCAATATGTCGGACTCCATGGAAGGCAACTTGTAGCATCTGTAGATATAAAACAGCTCATTCAGGTAACAAAAACACAACAATTCTTTCTACTATTCAGTTGATTGTACACTAATGAAAACATACCTATAAATATTATATTTCATTTCTCCTAATAGATCCTCCTAAATGTTACACACTGGACCTTTAAAGCTACATTATGGTTTGTTTGCAGACCAAGCTGATGGAAAAACACCCACTGAACAGTAACAGAACACTTTGTCAATTCTGGGCGTCAGTGAAGTTGAATGCATTGTTACATCCTGTAGGTTGTTACTGTTTAACCATCGTTACGATAACAGTTTGGCTTAACCACAATCTGACCTCCACCATTTTTATATTTACATAGTAGGTTTGTCATTTTAAGGCCCGTCCCAAACCAGCTAGCGTGTAAAGGAAGTGCACAATAATATATATATGTATATTCTACCTTTCCTCAGGTGGAAAATGGACAGAGCTCCACATAGAAAATTTACTCCCCATTCATTTCATTCAAAAAACTGAAAACTGCAACAAAACAAATAAGATCAGGTCAGACAGATCTAGGCCCTGTGAGGCAAATGTGTGAAAATACCTGTGTGGGTGCAGTGTTTCCTCTAGGTTTTTTTTTTAGCAGTGGCGGCAGGCCCGTCCGAACCCGTCGCGGCAGCCAACGGGGGTGCATTGTGTCGGCAGGATCATTTAAAAGGCAACCGTGACTACATTGTGCGTCTGCCCCATTTCTGATACCGTGGCGGCAGAAATTTAACAGCGGCGGGCTGCCGCTCTAAAATCAACATAGAGGAAACACTGGGGTGTATCCTGAGTGTGTAGGGCATTTAAATAAAAGAAAGTGTCACTTTGTCCTAAACTTATTTTAATCAGTTAATTCATTAGAGACACACAGCATCAGTTTAAAAGAATGCAATGTGTCTCACAGTTTACCTGCTACTTTATACCCCACCCCCTTAATGTAGACTGCCCGCCCACACCTGTGTTACTTTACTCTCTATAGTTAAGGGCTAGTGAGTAGAGATGTGTTTGAGAAACAACGTTAATGCTAACCATCCTTGTAATGTGTCTAAAGAAAACAACTGTTTCATGTATCAAGTGTTGTAACAGCTAATGCCTGAAATATAAACACGCAACATCCTTTAGCAGGAACCAACCGGAGCGTTTGTACAAGCAGGTTTCATGAACTTTGGGAACAAACCCTTATTTTCTTATATTACCATTAAGGATACAATATACAAATATAATGAAAATGTAGAAAATGACTATCATTATCATTATAAATCTCTAAACTACACAATACACTACGTCTATTTTACCTTTAAGTGCAAGCTGATAATACTGTAATTATGAATTGCACAGCCCTGTGTTAGGCAGTGGCAGTTAAAAACTGCACAGGTACTCACACATTGAGCCTGGTGAAGTTGCCTCCAGGATAGTAAAGGTAGCAGGATGGAAATTCAGTCACTCCCAGTTTGGTAACCAGATCTTCCTCAGTGTTCAGGACTCTTCGCACTGCAACATTCTCAAACTGTAACAGGTCCAGAGTTACCTGAAGAACACACCCACACACACATATATAGGAGTTAAATGTAGTCATGTTATATTTCAACATATTAACTTAGTATATGTAATTTATATCTGTGAGGTCCAGTAATTTCTAACCAAACTTTACACAATTTTATACTGACAACAAATGTTCCCTTTCTGGTTCAAGTTGTTTAGTCAGCCATAGTACAGTAATAAGAATGTGTCTTCTTCTGCACAAATAAAATAAATATATTCAATACACAGTGTTGTTATTGGGCTGTTACCTCGCGGCCGACATAGGATTTAGCGTCCTCGAAGATCAGAGCCAGGTGTTGAACGTTGTTGGTCTCAAAGAAGCTGTCAATCTCTGCTTGGCTGTAGAGAGGACCAGAAGAAAACACATAAGATTGGAGTCTCACATACGCTAACATACATACAACATACAAGCCTTGAAGAAACTCCAAACATCACCAATACATTTTAAAAGGGATCAGCTATTAATCAAGTATAAAGATTGAACAGGAAAAAAGGGAAAATTATAAGATTTAATTAAGAAAGCTTTATTTAATTTGGATAGGCATTTTACTGATTTTGTTTAGTTGTCTTGGATCAACTTTATCCTCGCACCACACTATTTTATATCAAAATAGCACCCAAACCCACAATCATACACATTAAAACTGTACTTCAGTGAGATATCTGATTTTAAGTATATTATTTTTACTTGAAAATGTTATTTTGGTTGAGAGAGAAGAGTTGAAATTAGGAATTTCTGTTGTGAAGCAAGAAAGAATGATGGGTCAAAGATGGTACGTCCCCTTTAAAGTTAAAAAGAGAAATAGTATTGACTTCCTGTTTCCTTATCCTTCCTTTCCATCACCAATGTAATAAGCTGCACGTACTGTATGTCTGAATATAGTTGTGTTTGCAGAGCCAGATGGCCTGTAGAAGACTCTTCATGGTGGAAAGATGGCCCATCAGTGCCTAACATTTTCTTCTTCTCAAGCTTATAGACTTAGACTGACTGAGTAAACTGAGTAATCATTGCTTTATTTCTATTCTAACAGTGCAGATAAGATCAGATAAAATGTTGCAAACTGTTGGAAATATGGGTTTCTACAGCAACAAAAGCACAAGTCTGAAACAACGGATAGAAGAAATACTGCAGCTAATGGAAATATAATTCACACAACTGCAGATTTATATGAACAAAAGGAAACCTCAGCTCAGCACAAAGTGTGAGAAAAAATATGGATTCACTTAGATTTAGTCTTTGGATGGGAATCGAGAACCAGCTCCAGTTGAGAACTAGTTAGAATCGTATTTTAATAAGTTTATCAATTCCTTTAATAAATGCAAGCATGTTTTTTCTGACAGTTGGGTACTGCACAACCACGACGTCCTGTGTAGACCTAAGTTTTTCCAATTGATCAGAAATCAATAAAGGAACCGAAAGGAATCAAACTGATAAAATCTTTCTAGTCTTTCTAAAAATTTCTATCCCTAATTTAGTTTAAAAATTGATGAATAGACATAAATTTCACAGCTTCCTACTATACAACAATACAACACAACTGCAAAAGCGTTAACATTGTAAAAGATACATATTTTAATGAAGTCCATGTCATCAGTAGAGCAGAGAGATCATAAACAGAGGTAATTCTGTTTTAATTCCTACAGTGAAAATGTGTGTGTGTGTGTGTCTGTGTGTGTGTGTGTGTGTGTGTGTGTGTGTGTGTGTGTGTGTGTGTGTGTGTGTGTGTGTTTACCTTGTGGGCTCCAGTGGGGGGCAGGCAGGGGGCCAGGGATCTTCATGGGCTTCAAGTTTGTCTATGATCTTGTGACGGAGCCCCCGAACATCACGAGGGAAAGCTGGAAGAGCATCAAAAACAATTATCATTCACTAAAAAACACTAATGACCAGTTGAGCATGTATACAAACAACTCCAAAGATAACTGCAATATTACAAATGTGTCTAAGGTGAGCCCAACGAAAGCATAAAATAACAGACAAAGGGTTGAAAATCAGTTTAATTAGGATCTGATGACACTATGATCAGTATGCATATTCCAACTCGGACATGAAACTTCTTTATGAGAGACAATTTGTTTTTATTGGCCTGAATTGCGTCCGTGTGTGCAGTCGTACCTTTAAAAGTTTGCTCTTTAGAATCACCTTTGGAATAAGCATGGAAGAACTGTAAAGTAAAAAGAGAGAGCGAGTTTAGGTTGCGCAGGAAGCAGATAGAAATAGAGAAGTGCGATCAGATGAGACGGCCCTCACACGACCATGAGAGAAGCAAAGCGATGTTGTGTAATGTTTGGTGGGGGTGGAGGTGGGGAGGGGGGCGACTTTCCCCTCTGCCCGCCTTGACCCCTAAATCCTTCCTGGTTAAAATGAGTCGCAGATGTTAAAGCTCCATTGTGTGTTCAAACAGAAGGAGCTCTTTGTTTCATTGGATTTCACTGGATGACAGAGAGGAGATACATGGACTGAGAGCGGTCTTAAACACACACACACACTACTGCTGACTAGTCAGATAGGCTACAAATACAAATGCAGATGTTTCAAGCTCGGGCGTTTCTGCAGCGCGGCTGCAAAAGTTTACTGAGAATAGACGGTTGCATCTACAGTATCTTACACAATCTGTCACATTCTCATCCAGACCTCCTGCAAAGGACATCCAAACACATTTCAATGCACAAAATGACCCTGAATGATGATAATAATGATAATACTATCACTGAGACAAGGAAGAAAGCCTCTTGTTGATGGAATAATAACTTTTTAACATGGATCCTACACAAGTTACTAGTTTGAAGTTATTTTTGTTCATAGAATTGACATATTACATTTTAGAAAATACAGAAAACAGGAATTTTAGTGTTTATTTAAAATGGCTCAGGAAATATAAAAAACATCCAAATCCATTTAAGAAATGATCACGAGTTAACAACTAAAACACACTAATAGACAGGATATATAAAGCCTGCTCACTACGAATTAAATGTTACTCTTGTTTACCAAATACTTCTGTGAAGTAGCTGCAAATAGAAGTCTTTTGTTTCCACACATGCTGACGTACATTCTACACTACGTGCTAATTAAAATCAAACATACAGTATCAGTGTTGAAAAAGGGGAAGCTCGTGGACATGTTCAAGATAAACTGTGAACACTCATTTAATGGTCAGTTCAGAAAATGTAGCATGTCACTAAAGGGACAAGAAATGTGATGTATCTTAATCCAGTCTGGTGTAGTTCTAATGTATTATTTTATTCAAGTCTTTTCTCTGATAATAATATTAATATTTCCCTGTGAATCCTATTGTTATAATAATAATAATAATAATAATAATAATAATACTTATTTGAATAATTAACAATACTATAAAATTAGTTAAAATAAGACTCCAAGTCTCTAAAGTCTGCAACAGCAGACGCAGTGGATCAAACATGGTTATCATAGTGTGTAAACAGTATATATTCTGTATAATACCTTTATTGTGGGATACCCTGTGATGCCGAACCTCATGCAGACCTTCCTGTTCTCCTCTGCAGCACAGTCAATAGCTGCCAGGTCCACAGCTGGCTTCCACTCTACAGAACAGACATCAAATAGAGGGAGAGAGGCACAGTAAATATTTAGTGTACCTTCTACTGACACTGGATATGGTCCCGAGTTGTCCTTCTGCCATGTTTGCTAATTTGCACTTCAGTATATCAATAAAAGAGACAGTCTGTGCACCAGTATTGTGAGGAAAGAAAACAATCCTGTACATTAAATCCTTACTTTGTCCACTCTTCACACTTTTATCTATTGAGAATTCCCATGATATCTGCATGTAATCCTAATTTGTCTTGACTTTCCCTTAAATATCAGCTGGATGACCCTCCTAACTCTGAAGCAGAGGCGCCTGACAGCATGCCAAGAGACTGACTGTGTGTGTGTGTGTGTGTGTGTGTGTGTGGAGTGAGTGAGTGAGTGAGTGAGTGAGTGAGTGAGAGAGAGAGAGAGAGAGAGAGAGAGAGAGAGAGAGAGAGAGTGAAACACAGGACCGAAATACCCCATGACTGTGTCAGGCCTCCTGCCATCATCAGAGACTTTGCCCTTGACTATCATCCTAATTATGTTTATTCTCATGGCCCTGTTATGTTTCTTTTGGCTCATGAGCCACAGACACAGTTGGGAGGATGAGATGCCACAGTGCTGAGCACAGTATAAAAAAAGACATTCAATTAGATCACATGCTCTAATTAACAGATAGAAACAACAGCTTGGTGCTCTCACAGTAAACATGCAGATGATAAGAAAAATACAAGATGTAACCTTGGCAACATTAAAGCTAGACAAGCACATTAATTACAGGCTATTAAACTGGTTGATAATGTGAATAACTACAAACAATACAGAGTCAATTAGGACTAATATTCAAACTTCATTGTAAACAGCTGCAGCTACGTGACCTTGCAGCAGCTCCGTACCGACCTTTAATGTCTCTGGCCAGACTTTTGTAAACCGGAGAAAAGGCGACGCAGTGTCCGCACCACGAAGCGTAAAACTCCGCCACTATAGCAGCTGTGGAGTTCACCAAAACCGATTCCACATTATCCGGAGTTAACAGGATGACTTGGTCAGAAGTTGAGTAAAGTCCAGCCTCCGCGACAGGAGGAAAAACGACACACAAACACAACCAAACCGCAAATGTCGCTGCCTGTCTGGGATATATTTGTATTTCTCCCGTAAACCGAGACGTGGCACGGCCGCAGCGCCGCGCCATCTTCCCCGTCCGAGCTGCCTCCGCGAACCGTCGGTCTGAACGAGTTTCCTCCTCCAGAAACTTCTCACAACTTTTTCTCCCTCTCCTTTTTCCTGAGCACTGGGTCCTCCCCCTGTCCTACAGCCTCATAAAAACACCACTCATAACAAAGTACCCCCCTCTTCCTCTCATATGAATATTTGGTAGGTTGATAGGCAGATAGATTTTTGCCCCTACGCGGCTCTCATACAGGAAATAACCGTTTAATGAACATTAATATTATTTAGACTTCAGTTATTTAACATGAAAACTAGTTGAGCGTAAAAAGTTAACCATGAGTTTGAGTGAAAAATTAATAATATATATATATATATATATAAACTTTATTAAAGGTCCACTTACTGTGTTTTTGGGGGGTCTTCCTCTGAGGATGGAGTTTACAGTAGCTCTGAGACAACTGAGCATCCTCTATCCGCTGAGGAAGGCCGTGAGATATGGTTGAAATCTCAGGAAAAAGATGGTAAGGAGCTTGAAATAAATACATTTAAAAAAGGTGTTTTTTGGTGTGTCCCTTTTGTTGGACATATAAACTACAGGGATATTAACAGAGTATAAGCATTCAATATTGTGATATGTACATGAAAAAGAAACAATTCTGTTTCTTAAGTGATATTTCTGGCAAATCTGTCCATAGCACATTTTTGATGTAAACGAACAGTTATAGTAATGTCTTCAGTCCTGTGTTAAAAGACCTGTCAACCAGCCAGGATTTTAGAAATACTGAGATGATGAGTTCAAATTCCTCCAGCACATCACCCACCTGACACATACAGAGGTATTCCTGTGTATTAAACCCCCCACAAATTCCACGTTATTTATCATTTTGAACATAGTATTTTGTTATGTGTAAA